AATCCCACTCATGTAGATGCCAACAGAACTGGCCCATTTGAAGGGGGTCTGGGCAAATTCCACATACCTGGGTCCTCCGTCTCCGGGGGTGTTTCTCTGTGTTTTTTTCCGTTCTCCGGGTTATTTCCAGGAGACCCTTTGAAAACTAGGAGTTTCAGGTGTATATATATATATAGAAATACATGGAGTGGTTGGGATTGGTCCAATTGCGTTGTTCGCCACCGGCTGTTCAAACTTCATGTTGTGTCTCAGTGGTTCGTTGATCCCTGGCTAAAAGTTAAACTTTAAGTGGTTAGGACATAAATCTCGCCAAACTCGAAAAGTCTAGTTGTGCGGCAGTTCTCATGAAGTGGACAAACCTTCTTGGGGGGTTAACCAGAAAGTTCCTTTCTGGTCGTCTCGGGGAACACCATGCTTTATCAACGGAGGATATCATAACGGAAGGGGAGCGATATTGTTTTGCGCCACATGTCTAATCAGCATCCAGAATTTGCATCCGCCTTTGGATAGACGTACAGTCACATGCACAACAATTGTGGCATGGAACAGAGAGAAAAACATATTGAGCCTCAGATCGGCAATACTTGCACCCGAAAAAAGGGCCCATCTTGTGACAATCGCCCACATGAAGTGTCACCTGAGTGCCGCGAATGCCAAGCCTTGTGCTTTCGGCCGCTTGCGCCATCCTCGCATTCAGTCCGCCTTATACCCAGTTGCCAAGTGACCCTGGTAGCAAAAGGCCTGCGGTTGACAATTCTTAGTGGGAAACCTATCAGCAACAAAGGACACATGCTGGCACTCAACAACTGGCAAAGTCTTGATTCGGACAGTGGGAACGAAGGCGAGAAACAAAAACAACTCTACACGGTGATGCTACCCACAACAAAAGACCCACCCAAATGCTCTGTTGGTCCACTGCAGTGACGGAGGGGTGGTGTAAGGTTGATAATTAGCAGCTAGCCAACTTGAACAAATCTTACGTACATCGACGGAAAAAGAAGCATGAAGCAACCCCGAACTGCAGTTAAGCCTAGATTCAGCTTTCCATGCTGTGAATTCGATTGCAGGGGGTAGCCTCCGTGTACCTTCTTCACGAGCCAAAGGTTCCATCGGTTGGATGCTTGCTAACCCATTAGTGAACAAATAGTCATAGCCTTGGCCAACTCTCAACACATTCTCAACCACACTCCTATGTCGAGTCAACAAAAGCCTCAGCTGATGCAAACAAGGATCAACAACAAGCAGCATAGAAATTGTTATAAAACAATACTCGCCATGGACACTGCAAGGGGGAAGGCGCCTGCCTGCCCTTTCTCGCCCAATACCAAACAAGAAACAAAACAAAACAGCCCCTTGCCAAGCCCTGCCGCCTGACCATCTGACCCTACCTCAGTTGTTCAGTGACCCTGGGCAAAAATCGGAACCCTTTTTGGGGAAGACCATTTTTAGTGGGGCGGCCACCAAAAAGAAGAGAAAAAGGGTGCCATTGACCATCTGAGCCCACCGACTCCATCGCCTGCTTCCCCCCTCATCCATTCGCCGCATTCGCCGAGACACGTGGCCGTCCTTCCCCCCAAGCTCTTCGAAGGCGCCCACGATGTTGGCGCTCCTGCCATTCTTCCGCGCCTCCACCAGCATCACGTCCTTGTAGAACCTCAAGTTGCGCACTTGACGCAAAGCCAACGGAAAGCCACACCTTTCGTGGTCAAAATCCATACAAAGCTCGCTATATTACTCTTGCCTGGCGCCGTCCATGGATGGCTTCAAGGAAGGGCCGTTGGGAGAACCCAACAAAGGACAGAACCACCTTTTCGGGATCCAAATCCCAAGTTTGACACGCAAGGGCCCAAATCGGAACGATTCGGAATCCACTTTTAAACCAGACTTACTCCTTCTCAAAGCCGGAAAGTGGTAACCATCCAAGCCCCCTACCAGCCTCTTGCCCCCAGAGCTCGATTATGGGCTATTTCGAGTTATGTCCATCGCCCTCTTTCTCGGTGGGGCAGTTCTTTGGCGCTTCATTTGGCCAAAAGCCTCAGCCTTCCGACGGGTTACGAATTCTGTGGATAGATATTGTGGATGGCTGGGACATTCTGCACCACGAAATGAAGCCATGGTTGAAACCACAGGTTTGCTTGGGTATTTCCAGGGGTATCGAATCATTTCGGGGCTTCTTGGGTGGTGCGAAATGGATTTTGTCCGTCCACAGTATGACCTGCATGCAACCTCGCATTTGGGTTTTCCCTAGGGTCCAAAGGAGCCCAAACCAGGCACTCCAGTGACATGGCGACTTTTTTGGGCTGAGCGGATTCTCGCCCCTCCGAGGCACTGCTTGAAGGTGTTCAGCTCCTGTTTGAGGATGACTCGCAAACGCGGCTCTTGAAAGGGGGGGGGTTGAGGGGGGGGGGGGTTGGAAGGAAACCACAAGAAACCCGCGCGGCGCACTTTGCCGGAAATTGGAGGAATGCATTCGGATGCCGACATGTCTCAAACACTAAACACTAATGGCGATTTAAACCCCAGTTGAGACCGAACTTGAAGCCGTCATTGGAAGGCACGAACGTATGGCTTCAACGCCTGCTCGCTGGTGTGCCAACCAAAGAAGCACTCAAAGTAGAACCAACGAAACACCCCGTGCACGAACACCATGATACAATTCTCCCAAATATCTAACATAACCTGTCACCAACCAGTAGACACTCGTCTCAGTGCTAAACCAGTAGACACTCGTCTCAGTGCTACTGCCAAAGTAGGCAAACACAGGAAGCCACCGTGTAAAAATGGAGGCTGTTGGATCTGTGCCTCCATCCTTCTGTGGGCAGCTTGGCTCAGACTTTCGGGATACCACCCAGCCAGGGAAAAGTGACTGAAGCACTGGGTTCTTCAAGGCTCGCTTCAAAAGTGGCCAACTGGCCCATCCCCGGTCGGCTTGGCCTATTGGGCCAACAAATGCCAGACTGGAACCAGTGCCTGACAAAGGAGTGACATGCCCTGTAAAAAGGGATCGTTGTTTCTGATACCACACGCAGATCCCCCTCCCCCCGCAAACAAAAGACACCCACCCCAGGCAAAACAAGCCCAGGTGATATCCCATTCCCGGAACTCTCTGGAACTCTCCGGAACCCTCCCTGAAGGCTTCCCCAAACCACCCCTGATCGACCCCATAGCTTCAAGCTGGGGGGGAAAAAGACAAACAGCGTATCGACGTATGCATGGGTTTGGCCATTCTTCGTGGGGAAAAGGGGGGGTTACAAAGGCCCGGAATCCACTTGGCGCTCTGGACATCATTGGAATTGTGTCATCACTGTCGGTGAAACAACAAAACAAACAACAACCAACATCACTCAAGCCTAAACCCACCCACCCGCCCGCCCGCCCGCCCACCCACCCACCCACCCACCCACCCACCCACCCCAAGAGGAAAAAGCAAACGCAAACAACACAAACACCCAGCCCCTCCCTCTCTCTCTCCCTCTCCCTCTTTCTCTCCCTCTCCCTCTCTCCCTCCCTCTCCCTCTCCCACTCTCCTCTCCCTCTCCCTCTCCCTCTCCCTCTCTCCCTCCCTCTCCCTCTCCCTCTCCCTCTCCTCTCCCTCTCCTCTCCCTCTCCTTCTCCTCTCCCTCTCCTCTCCCTCTCCCCGCACCCCCTCCCCCTTGAGGTAGTCGGGAATATCTTTTTACGTCCGTTCCGTCCACCCATTCGACTGCCCTGTCCTGCACCGGGTTCCCGCCGCGGCCCTTCTGAAAGCGCTCGCAGGTGCACAAGGCCCCCATCGCTCCGGGGCTCGCTCGCTCCGATATGCGGCGGAATCCAAGCGGAGGGCTCCAACCTGAAGACTGTTTTTTTTGTGTTTTGTTTTTTCTTTTTTAACATCAGGCCCCTTTAAAGGAAGCTGACAGGCGATATGGGTTTTAAATGGGATTGATGGTTTGCTTGTTTGTTTGCTCCACTTGAAGCCCTGGCGCGTGCTCTCTCATTTGGTCGGACATGTTTTGGCAAGAAATCCTGCAGTAAATAGTGCTGAAGGGTCGAAAAGCCAAAGCACTTAGACTTGGCTCAAAAATGGAGCGCAACTGCTGTGGGCATCAAGCTGGGAATTGCGAGAGGTTGGTGCCGGATGGCGGGTGCCGGGCTTGCTTCGAGCTTGCAGGGTGGGCTGGGCTGGGCAAGTGGTGTGCTGGGGCTCGCTCAAATCAACACCGGTTGGAAGCTTGAGCCGCGATACGGATTCGAGCAGCTCATGATGGAAGCGGGCGAGAGTTCCGGAAATAAGCATCCGCCGCTTCTGCCGTGCGAAGTCTCTCCAAGTGGATGCACGCCACTTAGGCAGGAATCGCATGCCGCGGAACGTGGTTCTCAGAATTAGTAGACCTCAAGGTGGTTGGGGTCCTGTAAGCTTCACTTCGAAACAATCTGTTGTCCCCTTTTTGAGCCAGACCCACATGACCGTTGCAAGCATTTTTGTGGCCAGCCTTGGCATTACCATCTGAAGACCTTGGTACTGCAGCCATGCCGGATCTCTGTTTTGGGTGCGCCATCGAATTTGGACAAAATCCAGCTACTGAAGGATGCAGCAACATGGCAAGCAGGTCAAATCCGGCAGAAGGTAAACTCACTTTGTCCACGAAACCCCGCGAAAAAAGGGCTTTTGCCCTTTCAATCTTGACTAACATGGACCGACATTGACATGGGAGACCAAAGGCTAAGCACTCAGCTTTGGGCAAGTGAATATCTGGCAAAGGAAGCCCCTTGTTGGCTTATCTTTAGGGGAGCCAACCACGAGGCTGGCAATCGTCTCAACCAAGTATCCTGGCGTAGGTGCCCCCGATATATCCCACACAATCCATGTAGGTAATAAAAACTTTATGCCAACACTTGGAAAGTAAATAAAATACGCAAACCGTGTTTGAATAGATCCTTACCTATATATTCTATTATTTCGGACACACCTCCTACGTGGTGAGTCGCCCTGTTCTCAGTTCGCACTCCAGGTGCCCAACCGGATTTGAAGCGCAAGAGCTGTGTCCACAAGGTCTGGCGAGCGGCAGACTGTGAGTTGCCGATCACATAAATCCATGGGCTGAAGTCCCAGCACCCAAAATTGGCAATCATTTGTGACAATCATTTGTGGCCCTTTTTTATGCCCTACTGTGGATGGACGAAATCCAGAAATCGCACCACCTAAGGAACCCTGGAATGATGATTCCCCTGTAAATACCCACAACCAACGGCTTCCCATGGTTTCAAGTTGGTGCAGTTTTCGTCCATCCACATGTGCACAGTATGGGCCATTTTGGGTGTTGACAACCCTTGGAGGGTACTGAGAGCTGCCCTTTCAAACCATATGAAGCAAATGGAAGCTGGGGGACCCTTGACGCGGAATTCAAGCGGGCCTGCCGGCCAAAGAAGCCCCAATCTTGGCAGATCCCCCCCTCAAGCCTCAAGGGCAGGATCCGGGGAACCAAACTCAAGTGGCCGGTCTGAGGGAACCCCCCCCGCCCCCCCAAAAAAAAGAAACAAACAAAGCAAACCTCTCAGCCCCTATTCGGCCTTAGGCGCCAATAGCCCCCAATCGGGATTGGGGGTCCCCCCTGAATAGGGAACTGACCACCATCGCGAATTTACTCGGGTGGGGTCCTCTACAATCAGAAGCTAGCACGAGTTATCATGGGTATTTTTGAGTTATGGCGGAGATGAGAACCAAACTGAAACCAGTCCCATCTATCTTCACCAAAACAAACCAACGAAATGACAGCTATGCAAGCGTAATCCGGTCTCCCAAATAATAAACCGTCTCCCCCCTAATATAAAAAAACATCTGAGGGTTTTATCATTCGGGTTCCCGGGTTTTGGCCAGAACTGCTTCAGATTGGGTTGTTTTGTATTGGGTTCCAATTGGAAAAGAGGGACCCCCTTTGTAATTTCCGAGCAAGAACTTTTCAAGGGAAAGGGCCCTTTCGATGTGCAAAAACAGGTCTTCCAAATAACGGAGAGAACCTAATGGAGACCCTAATGATAAAAACCTCTCCCGCAAGGCAAACCATTGGATTGCAAGGAAAAACGCTCAGAATACAGCTTTTGCGTAAGACCTTATGAAGGAACCTAAGTGGAGACCCCAATAATAAACAACTTTCCCGCTCAGGTGGCCTTAGTAAACGCGTTTGGGGAGCTTGGCTGAGTTCACCTGGTTCCAGAGAGTTTAGTATTGGTTAGTATTGGCTAATTTACAATTAGTCTTGGCAATTTTGGGGGTCGGCTGGAGGGTTTATTATTGAGGGTCCGTTTATTCCACCATGGACAGGAACGCGGTAACCAATGCCTGTGATGGTGTCGAGCTTTGCTTTTCGGGCAAAGCACCACAATGTCAGATTGAAAGCTCTCGCCTCTCTCTCACTCTCACTCTCTCTCTCTCTCTCTGGCTGGGTCTACTGAAGTCGCGTTTTCGCAATTATCCTCTAAATGGAGGTTTAAATGGTTGTGCCTCAAACTTTGGCACCCCTTCAGCTTATCATCCTTTTTGGCTTCCCTTTTACAGCAACCTATCCAAAAAAATGGACCAACAAAACCAACAACTCCAAATGGACACAGCCCCCCATTTTTTGGCCCGGCAGAGGTCGCCCCAGTTTCTCGCGGGCACCCGTTCGACGCCCGCCTCACGGTGGTAGAGGCCTGATTATGCCGGCCGGTGACTCGATCCGATTCCAACCAATGGTCATCCCAGGTAAAGGACCTGTTGATACCCACATACACCAACATTTGACACATGTGGAGTTGGTAAATGTGCATACATACTCATACTACCTACATGGATTCGCGGAACTTCGCCGCCAAAGTTGATGAATCCCCGAAAATGATGGGTCCCAAGAAAACTTTCAGGTACACCTGGATTTGGATTGGGAACTGGGAACCCCTGGTTCCAAAAACAAAGGAGAATCCACAAAACAAAAAAGAGGTTCTCAAGAATGATGGTTCCCAAAAACAAGGGCTCCAAAAAGAAACAAAACAGATTCCAAAAATCAGCCCCAGGAAAGGATTCAAGGATGATGATGAGAGGCAAAACAATGGTACCACACCGTCAGTGATACATGAGGGGCAGCGGTTCTTGATTGAAGATGTTCCCAGGCGTTGATGTATGGGAAGGGCTGGGGGTGAGGGTTTGGGGGTTGGAAACTAGGAATTCGGGATTGGGGAAGCGCCAAACTACAGCAAGGTCCCCACGCATGGCTTGTTCAGCGCTCGTGCACAACTCAGCGCCCCGCCACGTTGTACCCAACATGAAGCACCTGCCGCCGTCCAAACGCAATGCTTGGTAACAGGGACTGAGTCAAAACCAGAACCCCAGTTGGATTTCGCGTTGGTGTCCTTTGACAAGAGCCAACCAGAAAGAATCATCACTGCGAGTCAAGCCCACGCTGCCAACTCCTGGTACCGCATAGCTCGGAACGCGGCCGCGGAACCAAGGGATATAAAAAGGAGGACAAGGTATCGGCCCTTGATGGGGTCACAAGTAAACCAATAGGAAGCCATTGAGGGGTGCTCATTGTGAGTGGGACATATGGCTCGTTAAACAGTTAAACATCCTGGTACCATTGTGTGGCGCTAATGAACTTCGGAGGTCTGTTGGACCCCTCAAATACGTGTAGGTAAGTGACTGGAGTCAGGTGTCACATTGCAAATCAAGCATGCGAGCTTCCCAAATTGGTTCTTCAGGAGGTCATCCTGCCTATTGGATTGGAAACTTAAGAAGTCCCCCTTCTCATCCGCAGAGTGACAACATAGACTCATGCGTATGTCTCAAATAGGGGAATCCCCAAAATGGTAGGTGTCGGTGTCCCTTGAAAACCACCAAAGCAGGGGTACCAGCTCAAAAAAGAGAGACAACCCCATATACTCATCCGTTATTGGGCTTCAATGGGATCTTCCCCTCCCGTTGCCTACAGGAACCCACAGGACACCCGTCAACAAATTGTGCCTTCAAGGGAAAATACCATACCCCCCCGTCCAACATGGAACCCACCAAAGGGTCCCCTCAAGGACAAAAAAACTATTGGATCCCTCAGCCAGGTTCTATTGCAACGCGGATGGGAGGGAAAGTCAAAATCAGAGTGCCATGGATAAAGGACATCCACCCGTCATTGGGACTCATTATATCCGTTTTATTCGGGGCTCATGCTCATAATCGATTGAGACAATCATAATTGGGGTATGTCTAAATCTGGAGAGGCCCTTCCAAATGGTGGGTTTCTTTTTGCTTCACCTCTAACACCTTTGACACCACCCAAAACCAAGGGTAGCCTCAAAAAGAAGCCTCTTTGGCCAGGGACACCTTTGGGTATGTGTTTTTGTTGGTACCCTTTTGTGGGTGCTAGCGGGAGACCAACCAGGAAAGCCGCCTGAGGTCTGCACCCACCCCTTTCGCCTCCCAGAAGGGATCATGGCGAACGGCATGCGCCAGAAGAGTTGCGAAATCCTCTGTGAAGCTCGGGGAAAGCCTCGTTCGATTGAATCGCCCGGATTTTTCATCGGCGGAGTCGTGCTTAAAGTACAAATCGGACCAAGTGAAGCTTGGTCTCCCTCTCGGCGTTCGCAAAAAAAACACACACACACACACCAAAGGGGTACCAGAAATCGGGGTGTCTTTTGGTACGAATCCCCAAGTAGAATTGCGGTCTTGCCCTATAAAGCTACCAAAGAATCGGGTAGTCGCGAAAAAGGACACGACCCAATGATCAGCAACCAAACCCGGTGACTCGTGGTACAAACAAGCATGGTCATAAAGGTTTATATAGGCTGTACTAACAGCCCAATTACATGGTAGAACCAGGTGTTTTGCAATTGGATTCCCATCCGTGTGAGGGAGGTTCCCTTACAGCACATGGTCCGAACATCCAGTTGTCCACAAGCACAACTCAGCCAATGCTCGAGGGCATGTCCAAGAAACAACTATCTCACAACACTTCATCCTGCAAACAGGGTTGTTGGCTTTCAGGGATGAAGCGGAGTTGTCTCAGTGGACCCACTGGAAGGGCCTGTCTTGCGCTCCCTCTGCGGGCATGTCACTGTCCGATAGTGCATGTGCTTGCATCCCAAGTGCTTCACTGCTGGCACCTGAAGGACTAGCTTAGTTGCTTGGGAGGCTAGCACACTGTGGAGGGTTGCGAAAGCCATTTCGCACCACCTAAGAAACCCTTGAATGATGAATTCCCTGAAAATACCAATAAACAACAGAGTCAATCATGGTTTCCAAGTGGTGCGAAATGGATTTCGTCCATCCACAGTAGTTTCAAGAGAGTAAGCAATCTGATTGCAGACGAGAAACCACTTTTCCGATGCTCCATGGCCAGGGGCAACCTTATGAGCAGGACTCAATCTGCTGTCAAACAAAGCCTGGGACATGATTTTATGTGTCCATGTCAGGTGGTCAGATTGTGCAATTTTCGAAAAGCTTATGACACATCTCATTACCTTGACCCCTACGAAAGCTTTCTAGATCCAACGACTCGGGTCCCCACATGGCATCGTCCTCGCAAAGGAGGTAGACATGCTCATCGTCCTCGCGGAAGTTTCACTTATCGCAACACTAACAGGCAGTACCAAAAAAAGCACAGCGCTCAAACACATGTTGTAAACATGGACACTTGTTTCAGTGATAGCTCGAAGCCTCAATAGGATACCTGTCTGCACCAGCGTGGCACACGCCAAGTAAGATGAACATCTGTTCGCACTGTTGAAGCTGCTTCACAGGACGGACCCACGTAGTGCAATGGCCGCCGAAATGACAAATGCTCCCCTGTCCAGCCGAACGACCTTCTTTGAGGATGCACCCCGAAATGGAGCGGGTTTAAAGGGAAACCAACAGGAAACTAAGTATTTCAAGATACACCAAACCAAAATGCAGCACACACCCCAGCAACTCTTTTTGGCTCGGAGCCCTGGAAACCTGTCGCAAAGGGTCCATCATCGCCTTTCCTGGTCGTTGCCAAACTCGAAGACATCATGCCTAAGCTCAAACGCCGGTGAAAAACCCGTCCGCTGAAAAAACGCAAAGCAACAGCCTTCCCCCACCCAATTTGAAAGGAAGCTTCCTTTGGGGTCGGGGCTCTTTGCGGATGTCTCCTTTTAGTTTGCAGGGAAGAAACTAGTCTGAGGACCTGAAGGATTTTATGAAAATCTGATACTTTCTGACTGAGTCATCAATCACCGCCCCATTGTGCCAACCCCTGGGTGGTGTTTTCTTACGGATCAAAAGACGCTGGATCCCAAACAAAGACTCCGATCTAGGCGTGCGTTTGTAGCGCCAAGGGTTGGAATACAGCTTGGCAAAGGTAATCCAGGGTCAAATTGTAATGGGTCAATCTGGAGAATAGGGTCACTTTCTAGTAAAACTGCAATCTTGACTCTTGACTCAGAATCTTGTAAAAAAGAATGCAAATTTATCTCCAGGGTCTGAGTTAGCTCCCATGGCCCATTCCGGGTATGTTTCGAAATGTGGAACTTCCGTGGCAAACTGGGTGCATGGTGTCCTTTGGGTTCCACAATCCTAAAACGAGCATCTCAAAAAAGAACAAAACACAGCTTCCTGGTGGCCCTAGTAGAAATCACGGGTGAACGACAATTCATCTCTTTTTGAGGGCACCGTTGGGGCTGTTCAACAGGGAAGCCAAAAACCGGGCCAAATTGTGGCATGCGGAAAATAACCCGAGATATGTGATAGCACTATAGATCTGTCCAATGACTACTTTATTTCTCAAATAGGGGTTCCCTTCATATCGCAGCAAGTCAGCCTAGAACAAAGACAAAAGACATCCACAACCATGCCCACACAATCCATGTAGGCAATTGCTGTCCAACATGTGCCCCATTTGGAGTTGGTAAATGTGGGTCCATGTTGCCTACATGGATTGAGCGGGCAAGGTGGGGGATACTTCTCACATTTGACCCATTTGGAGTCTAGGTCCTCCAGCAGAGAGGTTAGAATAAGGGTACCCTTTTTTCCTGTATAGTCTACTTTAGTAGGGGCACCCTCGCCCAAAAAAGTTGGTGAGAAAGGGCACCTAGCTGGGAGACACCTAGGTGAGTGCTTTTGAGGGCCGTCTTTTACACTTGAACCCGTTTGGAGTGCTTTTGAGGGCCACAAGTGAGGCTTTTGGCCAAATGATTTGGCCCGAGCTTTTGAGGGCCACCCAAGTGAGGCGGGCGGCAAAGTCCAGGCCAAAGCAATGGCGCCCCTGGTGAGGACATAGCCCAGGACCTGTTGCCGTGGGGTGGCCGCATCCTGGCCGGGAAGATCGCCGTCCGGATGGCACCTTAAGGAGGAGGGGGGGGTGGTCCAGGACCCAATTCCATTTATCGAGTAAGAGAAAAATGGGTTGCCACTCATGGAGATTTCCAGAGCGCCCTCTTCCCCCAACTCCATTTTTTAAATTGGTGGGGATGGTATAGCCTTGTTGAACCCATGTTTGGGCTTGGTTTGCAGGGAACTCCGGACCTCCCTGGGGGACCACGTAGCTATGAATTTTAAGGTCAAACATGTTTCTTGGGCGAACCGGTTGCTGGGCTGGATTGAAACAAGTGAAACCAAAAAAAAGTCATTTGGGACTTACTTCATTTCGAGACAACATGTGAGCGTCGCCTAAAGGAGCGGAGCCCTCACAATTTGGTTTCCAAGAGGCGTTCCAAACTTTTGTGCCCCCACATTTCCTCTTCGAAACATGCAATATACCCAAAGACCCATTGGTAACCTGTAGAAGAGTGGGACTTAAAATGCACCCGAACGAAAGTTGATGCCAACACGTCATGAACGTATCTCCGTGCTGTCACGGCTGAAATGCATTGGTGGACCCTTCAACAAGTGAGGAAAGCAATTCAATGACCAGGCGAGTACGTGGAGGGTCAGACAGTTGGGTGACCCATGTAGCTTCTCATTGTGCCATCCAGAACCTGATCAGAATCCGCTCAGAGCCAAAGAAAGAACGTGGCTGAACAGGGTGGGAAGGGCTCTTGGGCTGGAGGTTGAGCTGGCTCAACCCATATGTCTCTTTCAGGAAGGACATCTTGGTCCTCTCGACTTCCCGATCGTGGGTCCCGTACTCTTTAAAAGCCCGTATCTTTAGCGTGTGGCTTGAGAAAGCAACGTCTTTTGTCATTTTAAATACCTCGTTGAGTCAGCAGTTGGCATCCTCAAAAAAACACGGGGCATCCTACGCTCTTTTTCCTTCCAGCCTCGATTCCCACGGGGTCCACGATGCTCTTTGGCACCTCCGCGGTGAGCTTCCCCTTTGGGGAGAAAGCCCCCCCAGAGAAGACAAAGTCTATGCATTTCAAAGTGTGTGTGTGTGTGTTCATGCATGCATTCTGTATCAGAAACAATATGTACATTGACACAAATGTGAGCATATCAAAAGCCCAAGCAAACGAATAGTTTCACCGGGATGCAACGATAAACAAGGCATTCTAATCATGCCTTCTAAGGCACTTAAGGTTCCGGGATCAACCACGCTGTCAGGTAGCCACAAACATTGCTTGCCTGATTTGGCTTGCTTGTTTCACGAAAAGGGAATGGGAGCAAAGATGCTTCGGCCCTGTGGGTGGCCATAGCATACTATCAAGTAGCCCTTGCTAAACAAACCCAAAGGCTGACCTCCGCTACAAACAGAACGCAAGCAAAAGGAAGCGCAAATGGATGCCAACCCAAATCACATGCTTACCTGGACCTCCAGTGGTGGCAAAAAAGCAAAAGGCTCCCAAGGCCCTAGACATTTGGCCTGAAGGGGACAAAGGAAACCCTCCAATTGTCTAGCCTTGTTGGCGCTTCGAAGTTTCGGAGCAACCCTTTCCAGGTTGGTGTCAAACCAGATTCAAAGTGCCATTTCAGGGGATCCCCCTCTTTGGGCACAAAGCTGTATATGTGAGTTCCCGCATGTGAGTCGTGCGTTAAGCATAGACTACTGGAGCCTTTGACCAAACAACAGTTCATCCAAAACGACCTGCTTTGCAAGGGATCCTCTAAATCAACCATGTGGCGATTTGGCTACATATTCCCTAGGGCTCAACCCCCGTCAAAAATAATGGTTCAGAATGGTTGACAAAATTAAAATGCTGAAACTCCTGAAGGGTCAACAATGGTGGCTATGTTAACCCCCAATCCTTTAGGCGCGGCAACAGAATCCCAGGGTTTGACGTCATAGCTGGGGGTTGATCAATATTCTGTTTAGGGCCCCCAGTTTTTTGACCATGGGCCACCTTCTCCTATTTTGTGCTTAACACATATCAAATCCTTTTAGTGGGTTTTTCCCCAATTTTAGTGGTTGAATTTCATCAAATCCTTTTAGTGGTTCTCCAAGCACAAATCATCCCCCACCTCTTTCAATCCTTTTAGCGGGTTTCCCCCAATCTTAGTGTGTAAATCTCATCCTCTTCGTGGTTCTCCACTAGGTTCTCCAGTAGAGGAGAGGTTAGAATAAGGGTACCAACTTTTCTAGTTTAGGAGAACGCTCCCAACCAAAAAAGGGAACGGTGAGAAAGGGGCAGCTAGCTGGGGGACCTAGACATATTCCAGTAGTGATAGGTTTCCTACTCAGGGGAAATTAACACATATTAATATGTTCCTCCAACCACTGGTCATCCCATCTTCGGACCTTTGGACCAACCGAGGGCCTCATGGCGCCTTTTGTTTTGAGGTTTGAGGCGCCTCCGGCAGCTGCAGCTTGGAGCCGTCCACTGCCTTGACCCACTCCGCCTCGAGAGCCAGGGAATGAACCGGATCCGGGGATTCCCAACTAAAGAAACCCACCAAGGGACCCAGAGGAAATGGACTCACTTGCTGAGTGGATGGCCCAAAAAAAGTCCAAACACTACTGGTCTTACCCCAAAGTTTAAAGTTCATGAACTCAGGAAGTGAGTGAATGGTTGGTCTTGGGGTTCATAGCAAGTTGTGTAAAATTGAGGATGTCACTTTAATGGACCCCGTTTGTCTTGGAATAGAACCTATTAGGATCTATGACCCTTTTGATAATAGGAACCGTTGTCGCTGGACCCTATTGGAGCCCCGTTTGCAGCCATTGACAGCCAAGCGGAGAGTTGCCAAACCTACAAATACCAGGGAATCTGACCTGAACATGGCACAGAAGGATCTCTGCCTGGCAAAGTGAAGAGTAGCACAGTGCTTTGCAGAACACCGGTGGGCTTCCCGTTTGCTTGGGGACAGGATACAAGAGTTCATTTAGGGGCCACCTCTATTTGACATACTGAAAGGATACCTACCCCTTTCAGGTCTCGTCGAAAACAATGGGGGGCATCTTGTAACCAAAGCAAGAGCTGATATTATCATGGGTGTGTCCATTTTTTAGGGGGGCCTTTGGGTTTCCCTTTAGGCCAACCAAAAAAAGACACGCCCCTATCCGGCTTCCAAAGCCCGGTTCCCCTTCGTCGTCATGGCTTGGTGGACAACTCGGCGACGGAGGCACCCGGCACATCAGCTCCGGGAATCGTTGGAGCTGCTGGAGGAACCGCCGCCTTCGACGTGTCAAATGGTCAAATCAATGGGATACCTTCATCTTCCATTTGCTCAAGTCCCCTGAAAGACATCTAGGTCCTAGTAGAGAGGCTATAATAAGGGTACCCTTTTGTGTGTAGTCATTGTAGGCTATTTTAGTAGGGGAACCCTCGCAAAAAAGGATGAAAGAACACTACTGGGGGACCTGGACATATCTCCAATAGTGATTAGTTTCCTTTAAAAGCCAACTGAGGGGAAACTGACACATATTAATATTGCTAAGCAGAAGGAAGTCATGGGTGGCTCGTCTTTTTGAGCTGGTACCCCGTTTTTGGTGTTACAGGAAAAGCCAAGGAATCCCACCAGTTGGGGGGCGCGGGGTCCCATAAAAGACACACCCTCGTGGCATCTAAACTAAACTACTGTAATGTCCAGGCTGGAAATACGGAACCCCCGCATGGGGCTTGATCAATATTCCATTTCGGGCCAACCAAAAATTACCATGGGGCAGGTTTTCCCAGTTAGCGAAGTATCGGGCATGATTGCGCGCGAAGCTGCTCGTAGGGCTATGTGTCAGACCCAGTTTCCGTGGACTAGTCATAGCAAGCTCACCTGGTGAGGTAGAACCAAGCGGTTGCTTTCCTATAAGATGGTACCAAACACGGACCCATAAAGCGCTCTTTAAAGGAGACCAGGTCTAAACAGTGCCTGAAACATATGCCCACATCCCTGCATCCCCTGCATCCCTGCTTGTTTGTTTGTCTGAATATCCCACCAACCTCCGGGAAATTCTTTCACTCGCCTCCGCTCCGGCTGCCTCTCGAGGCTGATGATCAGCACCCGGTGCACGGACCTGGGGGATTGACGACTTTTTCGGGCTCAGAGGATTGAACAGAAGAAATCAAAGGGAACAAGGGAAACAGAGGATTGAACACAACAGAGGGACCAAAGACAACAGAACATTGAGCAGAACATGAACAGAGCAGAGGGAACAGAGGGAACAGTATTCGGGTTTCTTCCATGCAACCGGTGCAGGTTTCTTCCGCGTAACGTCAACAGTACCAACCTGAAGCAAAAGGATGTAACTATGGCACATAGCATGGTAAATGACACCCGCAGTTCCTTGCTTGGGCATGGTTCTGGGACATATTCATGTTTTTAATGGTACCAAATCAAAATCACCTCCATCATCCGACCATGACGGGGTGTCATTTTTTTGAGGGCACCCCTGTTTGCATAGTTTTAAAGGGAAACCAAAAGAACAACTACCCAATTTGGGGGGTCCAACCTTGAAAGGACACATGCCTTATCGCTCCAAGGCCTCTCTTGTGGACGGCTGGGAATCGCCCCTTGAACATTTGAAGTACGTCAACCTTCCACCGCGCCACAACATCCGGCACTCGGCACAGCCTCTCGCGCTCTTGCCGGAGCAGCCGGTCGCCTCGGCTGCTAGGATGCCTCCCCTTCGGAAAATCTGATCTATACAAAAAAAAAAGTGGCTCCCCAGCAAAGTAAAGATGGAATCCCAAGAAAATGTCCCCCACCCAAAAGGCCTTTGGGAGATTCCTCTTAGAATGATGGTGATTGGTTTGCATGTATGAAGTGATCTGCCGGGGAAAAGCTACCCAAACAGTTTTGCATGTTCAAGTCCTGCACCACCGCATGCACGCATCGGCCACTGAGCCAGATAAATTGATACCCTGTCAAATATGCTAAGCTTCCAAAGAGAAATACCAGTTGCCTGTATACCATTATAATTAATCAGGATCAACAAGGTTCTAAGATATATGTGACATCCTCACGTGAGAATCATAGGAGGTATCACGCTATGTGAAATGGGCGGGAACAACTGCAGGCTCTGTTTTGGATCTATTTACTCTGAAAACGGTACACATGAGTGGATCCCCAAAGGGAACCCCTACTTGTTTCCATCGCATCAACGGAATACGCACGCATAGTGCCGCGTGCCAGCACACCACTAGGCAAATCCAGGACACCTGCGACCCAAATGCAGGCAAGCCGAAAGAATGTGTGGACCCTGGAGCAGGTACATGCAGGATCCTGCAACTTGGCAGAGACGGAAAAGAAGAACCACCACCGTACCTTGCAGTGGGTATTTCTTTTAAACCTCTGACCCCCCGCGCAAAGATGGCTTCCAAGCACGTTTAGGGGGTCTCGACAGACTTCTCGCGAGTCCCATTGCTCATGAGATGGGAAGGAATCCGACGATTGCCTGGCTTTCAACTTCTTTCCCTTGAAACCACCCACCTCTGAGTTTGGAAACAAGTCACCAAGCGATTTTCTTTGCCACGAAAATGGCCACCCAGCCCAAGAAGAGCCTCAGGTCTCTAAACGGAACTCGGGGCGTGAGACCCAACTCCTTAGGCTCCGGCGCAGCTCTCGCGCGTGAGACAGCGCCTGGAACCGGAGAAGGCCATGCCCGGTGACTTTCGAGCGAAACCCCGGCGACTTTGATACCCTCCCCGAAACGGTTCAAAGAAAATGACCCAAGTGTAAGACTGACCCAAGTGTAAGACTGACCCAAGTGTAAGACTGACCCAAGTGTAGTTGCAAAAGGTGCACCAAATGCCTGGAGCTCTGGTTGACCATAGAACTGTTTGCTGGAAACCAAAAGGAAACCGGACTTGGTGCACAGTATTTAGGTGGGGGTTGATGTCCACCAGCTACTTTTGAGAGGGTTCCACTATGATCTTTTGTGGGTTGAAAAGGACCCTTTGGTAGACATCACTTTGAGCATTCATGTCCACCTCCCCCTTTGAGGGTGTCACCGTATTTCAATTCATAGCCGTATATCTCACTCCCCATCAAACTGGGTTGGCCGTGGTGGAAATCCTTTGCCGGATTTGGGCAAAGCGAATTGTGGGACAAGGAACACTACATCAGCATGAGGCATGGTTTCTGAAAATCCCGGCTCCGAGCTTGCACAGGAAACGGCTTCCTGACAGCCAACTATGCATCTGGAGTCCGCAGAAATCCACTCGGATTCCACAGCTACATCATCCACATCACTTCGACACGCCCTTCGTGGGATTGCGACTTTGGCCGAAACCGCCACGAACTTAGGTTCTGACGGGTGTCAACCGTTGCCCAAAACGAATGCTTGCTTCATGTCTTCATGTCCATGGTGCGCTTGAAAAGGAGTGCCTCCCCTAGACGTTCACATGGAACACAAAAGGGGGGGGGTCCCCCAAAAGGAGGTCTCTCTGACGATGCTAATCTGCAGGGTAATTCAAAAGAGATCCCAAATCAAGCCTTTGGGATACGAAAATTTCCATACCAACCCCTTGGGTGTCCAAGGCCAGGAGACCTGTTGGTTTCTCTTTTAATGCCCGTCAAATGGGAATTCCCCCCGCTCCAAATTCAGGATGCGTGCGCGAAAACCTAAGCCTCTGCACGCATCTGTGCATGTGCGCGTCTCACATTTAAGGGCATCATCCGCTTTTGGGGGACCGCTCCATCAATCTGCCAGGCTTTATTGAGCGAGGTCAAGTCCCTGGCATTGTTCAATGCCCAGACCCGGTGGGGCAGGCATTTAAATTCTTGTCGTTCATTTGTTGGAGGGGCACCCCCCATCCGAAACAAAACACGTTACATCAAACAAGGGGCACAGGTGTGGGATGATCTCGGATGGCGTGCCTTCCAGATGGAACTGCTCCCCTTACTTGTTGCTATGGTGTATACAACAAAAGCGGTCTTCCAAAAGAGTATGCAAAGTTCAGAAACTCAGGGAGATGCAGTATCATCACAAAACCCGTGTCAGACCCAACTCCTTCACCACGGCGCCTGCATGAGCTCATGACAACAAGCTCAAAAGCCGGCTGCATGAGATGATTGTACTTCGACAGCTGTGCTTTTCTGGTTGCGTTTTGTGGCTTTGTGGTGTTTTGTTTCGTGCTTTGTGCGGTCATGTGGGTGTGGGTCAAAATTAAACCACCAGGGGACCGCAGGTTGTAGTTGAAGTGTCCATTTACCCGGGATCCAGTTTGGGTACATATTTTTGACCCACAGCCATCTTCTGTTTGCGCTGTGGTTTGCTTAACGTTTCGAGCTGTTTGTCGGGTGTTGTGCGTTGGCGCGGCGACCTCTGGATTCACCTCTAAAGACCTAGAGGTCTGTCACATTGTGGGCCAAACATTGGGGCAGTGCGCTCCGGCCACAAGTCAACAAAGGGAATACTGTTCTTCCCTCGCTTACAACTTGGACCCTCTCTCAGGCGAAACGGGACCTGAAAAGTGACCCTTCTTTTCTGCAAAGAACCAAACAACAACGAACCAAAAAACAAAGAACCAAATTACTAAAAACGAAATAACTTGCCAAGAACCGTGAAGAACTCCTTCAAACAGACCTACCCAAATAGGCGGTGTCCTTTTAGTTTCCCTTGAAGGTCATCCAAAAAGGTACCGACTCCCAAAAAATATGACCTAACCCCATGAATTCACCAATGTAGTGGTCGGTTAAAGGAAAACACCAACCACTTTCTGATTTTGATAACCCCAAGAAACGCTTAACATAATGACCCCAGTTGAGCAACGTTGAATCCAACCTAAAGCTGCCCTTCTCTCCAGAAAACCAGGCGCCCAACCAGACCAGCATTGATAGAACGGAGCCAAGAAATGCCAGCGCCACATCGCGAACTCTGATCCACTTCATGTGAAAACCGCAAAATGTTGTAAAATGAAATAGCTCACGGGTGTCGCAGATGGAACGGTCCTTCAGGGTTAAACAAACAAATATCAGTGGATGATATACATATCTATATATATATGTATAGGCATACTTCTATTTTGACTGACTTAAACATATATTATCTATTTATGCATCTATTCATTTGCTGTGTCTTGCCATCTGTCAGTCTTGCGCCATCTATTTCGCACGCCTTTGCAGGTGCCCTTGAAGAGGCTGTGGCGTAGCTGATGCGCTTCGCGCTTGGCAATGCTGACGCAGAAAAGATAAAACAAGGCATACTGCTCACAGGCAAATAGTTATGGTCAAATAATGGTTTATTGTTTATTGTGTATTGTCACTATGGTCACAAACAATGGTCACATGGTGATGCAATCCAAAGACAAATAACGGTCTTGTCATCACCACGGTCGCCACAAACAAGTACAGGAACTTGTAAAGGCGGCAGCTTAGAACATATTAGTGTTACACATGTGAGTTGAAATTACAGCGATATATGTGCAAACGTAATCAAATGTCACCGATCATCCGAACCAAAATCACCATCTACCACCATGTGCCATCAATCCTTTTCGACTATCAACAAAGCCTTTGTGGCAAGCGCAACGCAAACTCATTTGTAAGTTATTTGGTTTTGGATGTGCATTTTGGTAGTGTTCTTGGTCATGCTGAATGGGAATCAATCCAATCATATCTGAATCCAACAAGAAGTTAGATTGAAGTAAATCGAGAAGCCAATCAATCTCGTTGGATTCCGGAGCGGCGAACAGAGACGCTGTTGAAGTGTGTATATTAATATACATCCTATTAAAAAAAAAAGAGTCAATTTAATGGCCCAAGATAAGAAGCAATAACCCCCACTTGTTGACAGGAAAGCGGAATGAGCTGACAGCCGAAGTCGACTACATCAACTTACCACTTACCTCAGTCCCCTTGCCCGACTTAAATCATTTTCAGTTCGACTGTGTTGATGTTCAGGTATGTTCAGGTCATTTCTGCATAGTCGAGCCTGATATCCCACGTTAATGTGATGGGGTGCTTTCCAGCAATTCAGCAAAAACTGCTTGACATGGGGACAACCAAGCCAAATCGCCCAAAGGAGGCAAACCCTCGATGCAAGAACCAGACAATCATGGCTGGCAGTCGAAACACAAGCACGGCATGTTTTTGGGCCAGTGCCCGGATATCTTCGTGATGCCCAGGCCGAAAGCAAACTCTGAGTCTCATTCTGACAGAAGAAAAACAAAGGCAGCATTAATCGTCACCAAGAAGCTAGCTAGATTCTTCTGCATCAAGCACAAGTCTGGCGTGGCAAGCGCTGCATGCTTATTTTTCCTGCAGTGACGCAACGTTGGCTAGCGAGTTTGCACATGCAAGCTAATTTTGACTCAGTTGGGAGGCAAGGAGTGCATTGTCGATGAAACTCGGCACTACATAATATAGCCCACAAACAGCCAAATTTGGGGACACTCACTAGACTGTATAAAAGACCTCCCCCTTAGCAGCCTCAGATTTAATGGTAGTGGATATTCTGTAAACCCTGAAAGGGTCAAGGACATGGTCCCTCCGCATTTCTGCTCACACAGTTGTTCGCCAGCTAAAAACACCTACGTAGACTTTTAGGTTGATGCCCATGCAACCAAGCTTCATGTTCCCATGCCAGCTCCCAAATCCGGTCATCCGGGATCGAGCCCGGTCCAAAAAACTCAGTCAGGCACCTGCGAAGTTGGGTGTCGCATCCAAGTCGTCCCAGGTCTAGGACAAGGGATTGCTTAGACCACGGAATCCGACTGTAGGCCGTGACCAACAGACCTGGCGCATGAGGCTCGGATTCTGTGGGATAGACCAAGCAAAGACATTTCTTACACCCTCCTCGCAGCTTTCCGGGTCTACGGACTCAGCTCTGGGGTCACCTGGAAAGAAACTGTTTGAGGGGGCAACAGGGTATCTGCAGTACTTTGAAAAGCGGCACGTGGCAACGAGGTCCAGGAATTCAGGGAGTAAGAAGTCAACCTGAAAAAGGGTATCCTCAGAAACAAACAAACAAAACAAACCGACAAACCAACAAAACAAAACAAAACAAAACAAACAAATCAAACAAACAAACAAACAAACAAACAAACAACCAACCAGCCAACCAAACAAAACGAACAACCCCAGTTACACTCCCATCACAGGCACGGCAAATCTAAAACCAGGGCGACTCCACGCCTCAGTCCTTCTTGTTGGACTCCCGCCGCAAAGGCTTCATCTCCTGAAGGCGGAAATCAATCTTCTGGGCGAATCCTCGTTTGGGAGGCTTGGCCACACGGGGGTCTCCTTGGTTGCTGTTGAGCCCTCTGCAAAAAGTTTATTTTTGTGTGTGTTTAGCTGAAAACCCATTGATTTCCCAAAAAGTTAAAGTCTAAAGATCCAACCCAATAGCAGTCAAGTCTCTCTCTTACAAAATTCCGGGGTTGTTTTGAAGACTAGGTCCTCCAGATTTGAGAGCTTAGAATAAGGGTGCCAACTTTTATTTTTAGTCTATTTTGGTAGGGGAACCCTCCCCTCAAAAAGAAACGGTACAAGGGCACTACTGGAAGACCTAGAAGAGAAACCCGAAGGAAACCAATTTTGGGGCTTCCCTCCATTTTGAGGCAAGCTCGCATTGCTATAATTCAAGCCCATGGCCCAGCGACTTGAACATGTTCTTCGCGTTGAAGCGGGTCGGTTATTTCACTGAGCCCGCAAAACCTCAATATGTTTACAATGCCTGGGCTGTCCTCAGATCCCTCGCTAAAAGTTTCACGTTTAATGGGTTCAATGGACATCCCCACTAAAAAGCTAAAAAGCTAAGGAACCACCAAGGAATCAATCCATGTGAAAAAGCGCCCCAAACTAGCAGTACCTCCCGAATTGGAAATGAGGAACCCCGTAGGCGAGGCCTACGGAAGCTCTTGATCCGGGTTCGGTCTATCGTTCCACATTGGGATGGCCAAAGGAAACCTTCGCTGCATGGTAGCTTACCCTCTCCCACACATTCATGGAAGCATGAGGCCTGGAAGGATAAACCTCCCTATATGCGCAACCTGTTTGCTGCTTGGCTTCTTGGCAGGGAAAGGGTCAAGGCCGAACCAACGCCGTGGCATGGTACCACAAATAGCAAACAACAAACCTACACCATGGACACCTCCCAAAAGAATGACACCAGATCAAAGAGAACGGGCACCTCCTTTCTGCTGGTTCTTACAAAAGTTGAGTTTGAAGGGAAACCTCTTATAACCTCTTCTCAAAAGAATATAAACTAGAAAACACACACACCCCAGTGAAGGTCTTGGTTCTTCACCCCCCAAATTGCTCCCCCCCAACCCCCCCCCCCCCGAGCAAAACGCCCGGTTTCGCCGGCTGGACTCCTCCTCCTGGACTTTCTCGGGCTCAGGGCACGCCTCAAACCGATGCGAATCCGAGGCAAAAGATGCGCTGAATAGTGCGTGGTCTGTGGTAAACCTATGTCCATCTCATTTGCTCATGCCCGATGGCCAACAGTGAAAAGAAATGGACTCGCCGAACGGCTGGAGGTGCAGGGACATGTCACTTCCTCACTCATTATCTGGCTTTTGCTCTCTCTCTCTCTCTCTCGTCTATGCCTCAGGAGCGAGGTGAGGAGCGAAGAGAGAAGAGAAGAGAAAAGATAGAAGATAAAGGATAGAAGAGAAAAAATAAAGGAGAGAGAGAGAGAGTGTCACTCTTCATCTCCCATCATCCCCTTGGAATGGAAAAGCCTTTGTTGAAAGCAATTCTCCAAGTCATCCTATTCCCATGGCCACAGAAAGTGGCAACCCACGCAGCCTGAAAACCAACCAGGTGGTCTGTCTCAAAACGGGGAAGCCCCCAAACAACATCCTTGTTCGATCTGCAAATGGAGAAAAGACAACCAGACAACCCGAGTTGCCCAGGGCCCTGAGGTAGATACATTTCTTCACAACCCTTGGCTATGGTAGCGGAAAACTGTGTGTTTTGCAGCCCCCTACGAAAACTGAACAGGCCAAAACGCCAAACAAACTTTGAAAAAAAAACAAAAAACACAAAACACAACAGCCATGAATGCATATCTCTATATAAAATATTCATACACTTACGAAGACAAAAAGCTATTTAAAGATCCCAAGCACACCAAGCAAAACCGGGGATTTCGTGGGCCCTTTTCGGATTTTGAAACCGAGTTGCGCGAGGCCAGGCGCAGCGCGCCACGTGACGGCCAGCCTCCAAGGCCTGGGGGGTGTCCGAAAAAAGCCGCAAGCCTTGCGTGCGGCGCAACCCAGGTGGAACCCATGTGGCTTTGTGAATTGTTCAATTGGGCACCCGAAATGGACATTATTTACATAAAGATGTGTGGCCACCGGCCACTTTTGAGGGGGTGCCCCTATTGAAACTCGTGGCCATGTGGCTTTGTGTCTCAAAGAGAGAACCCCCCAACAAATGCGATGTTCCTCTAGTTCCCCCTTTAAACCAACCCCCCAAAAAAGGTACCCCCACAGAGCAAAAGACACGCCCATGTCAGGCTTCCATCCAAATCCCATCCCCGCAAAGCAGCCTTGATCTTCCACCCTGGAAACGCAGGTGCCTTTGGCCGATTTTTCATTCATGAAATCAAGAGCCACATCACGAGGGGCCCTGTGTTTGCGGGGGTCCTTGGAAGACCAAGGCCGGTGTGTCTGAATTTTTGCATGTCCAACAACATCTTTCTAGTTAGTGCTTTGCATCCCCCCCCCAGAACCCCCAACTAAACAAAGGGCACAAGACCTCCCACCCTTTCCATGCACCTTTTAAAGTGTTGTTTTAATTCATTCATGAGGCTGCGAGAGGTCCCAAGCTGCCCTCAACCGTTTTTTGTTGAACAGCAAAAACAGGTTGCTGCCATTCTACCTGAGTGGCACAATGGTGTTGGCTCTGAGAGGACGCCAAAGGCGATGTGGTCAGATTTTCTACGGCTCATCCTGACTCACCAGAAACGGAAACAGCCATGGAGGTCATGACGTCCTCTTGCCATGAGGAGTCGTATCATCCAGTCTCCTTGGGTTCCAAAAGGCCGTCACAGTCCTGCATGTCGCCCATGACAATCTGGACACATGATTTGTTTCCCCCAAAGACATGGGACATTTGGGTGGTGCTGTCTCATTCTTCTTTTCCTCTCAAACAGTCAGCAACTCCTTGGACTGCTCCACAGACCCTCTAAGGGTAGAATTGGTGGCCTGGAACGGAAGAAACTAAAGGACCCCTCAAAGTTGTTTTCTTGAGGTCCTGGTGGGGGGGGTACGAAAAACTCATCAGACGTGTTTTCAAGGCCCCTGAGGTCCAAAACCTTCCAGTGGAGGTCCCTAAACCTCCATTTGCTGAAGTCCCCTGGAAAGAAACACTAATATTTCCAATGATGAGAGACTCCCTTTAAAACCAACAGAGGAAATTCACGAAAACATATATTCTTAGCCATACAACAAAGGGAGGCTCTGAGACTAGAAGCTTCAAGTACCAGTTGCCCAAAGGGCCCAGAAATGAAAGGTCATCACCTCTTGGCACCGCTCAAATGGACCAACCATTCCAAATTCCAGCTCAGATCCGGTCCACTCGCTTGAGACAGATCCATTCCCCGGCTTCGGGCTCCCAGGCGTCGGCGCCCTTCTCGCGCATGCGGCCTCGAGAAATGTTTTTGGTTCGGCGCCCAGCTGAGAACCCATTCGCGCATTTCTGGGACCTGATGCACCAAGAAACCACCTCCCCAAAAAGAAGTACCTTCTAGGGGTACCTTCCATTTTCATGCTTTCCAGGGATCCGGATCTTTCCAGACAACCACCAAAAATCCTAAGCAAACAGATCCGTGTTTGAAAAGAACGATGGTTGAAAAGAATGGGGAAACAATCCCTACAATTCGCGGAAAATGAATTTCTGGGACTTGATGACCCAAAAACCACCTCCCCCCCAGGGCCAGAATGGAAGAAAGATATCTGTTCCCTCAAGCTGTCGGCTTTTGCTGTTGCTTGTCCAATTGGGGAATTGTGCTGGCTCCCATTCTTTGGGGCACTTTGCCATTGAGTCCTTCCAGTCCGCATTGGCAGTCACCAGGAACCACGATTGGGGAAGAGCCTCTTTTCAATGTCATAGTAGGCACCTTCGAAACATCTGGGTGCCAACATTGCCAGCAAACTCACACTTAGGACATAGTCCTTTCTCCGCAAGTTGAAAGTTCAAAGGACATACCAAAGAGCAACCCAATCCCAGACAATAGTGTAGGTAATATATACCCACATGTCCCTTCGAAATGGGTTGAATGCGTCTATATAGTACCTACGTGGATGGTCTGGGAGTTGCCTCAACAAGAATCATTTACAGCTGCCATCGCTAAATGACACGCAACAGGGTGTCAGCTTTCACACTCAGCGATTGTACCAGTTTGAAGCGACCACACTTCAGGTACCGCTCCACTTGAGTGGCCCTGTTAAAAGCTACATTTCTGTGGGTCGAAAATAAACATGGGGGAACACCAAGAAGGCACCAACTTGAGAAGGTAAGCGAAAATCTGGCAATGGAACGGGAAATCCAAGCGTTCACAACAAGTGCTACGCATGGCTCAGTGTTTGTTGCCAGCAGCAGACACCAATTCGGTCACACTGGGCCCCTGTGCCAAAGAGCGAGCCGATCACCTTAATGACGCCGGGCTCGTCCTGCGACCTAAGCTCAGCTCTAAGAATGTGTTCTGCCACCCTTACCACGAAAACAACTCATCCAGGTGAGAACGGCAGAATCCTTTTGGAGTGGGTGCCCTTTTCCATGGCTTAATGTCTCAAAATAGCTGGAACCCTCAAAATGGGTGGTTCTTCTGTTGGTTTCCCTTTAAAACCACAAGAGAAGGTACCCTCTCAGAAGAAAACAAACGTGTGTGAATTCTCAAGAAGTGATGCAGAAGTGACGCTTGGAGTCCCCACAAGGTGTATTTCGGCTATCCTCCCATGCAAAATTAAACAAAACCTGCACGGGCGTGTTTGGAAGACAACTTCCTTTTAAGTGTTTCTGCATCCAGCAATGAGTTCGATCCAGACATCTTTGGGCTGCCGCAGGACATGACTCAGCAGACCAACAAAACATTTCACATCGCCTCATTCGACAAACATCGCTCCAGCCCTCCGTTCCTTTTTTCCAAGCAATCCGGGTATGTCAAATCTCGGTTGCTTTCTGCTCCCTGCTAAGTGAATAACTTTCAGTGGTTTCATGGAAAACCCATTAGTTGCCAAAAAGTTCAAGTCCTAACATCCCTTGGCAAAATGCACCAAAGTTATGGGAGATTTCCTCTTGGTGTCCCGAGCCAAGCTGACAAGGGGTAGCCTCAAAAACCACAAACCCATGATGTTAACCCCGGATGAAGCAGATTCATAGCGGGTGTCCCCTTTTAGTGGGGATTCAGACGGCTCTCGGAGGCCCCCTAATAGTGGGACGGGTTTATTCATCCTGGGTCACATTAAGATTTTTGGACACATGCAGGCTGAGTTCCCGACGAGTCGTGAGCCTGGCACGAGACAAGGCGACAGAAAGGAGGCTCTGCTGGAATGCCTCGTTTCGGGATGGTGACACGTGCCGTGCGGCGCACTTCCAAGGGTCCAACAGGCGCCCACGATTTTGACGACCGAACTCAGCTTGAAACCCTCAAAACGAAGTGCGTGTTCATAGTCCGAGTCCAAGCTGCCCATTTTGCTTGGCTGCTTGAATTCCTGGAGTCTCTGACCACGGCCCAATACCAATGACTTCATTTTCGTCCAACACCAAGCATCACACCCCAGCAAGGCATGAGCCACGGTCAAAAGTACTTGTTTCTCCCTAAAGGACATTCATGGGACAATTAGTGAGTCCAATGGGTGTCGGAAACTTCGCGAGTTCGCCCATGTCCAAATCTCTTAAATGGAACATAGACTGCAGGAAGTGTTCACCGAACCTGAGTAAACATTCGTGAATACCGAGTCCGGCAATTCCGTCACGCTATTCCCCCCTACCCGTAAGCCCCAGACCATACATCCACCATTGTGTGAACCTGAAATGCCCCTTTGATTGTACAAGAATCCAACTAACACTCCTCATGGGTATGGGGGTGACTTTGACAATGGCAAAATCATCCAAACCCTTATTGAAAAGGCCAGCATGAGCATGTCTCGGAATAGGATGACCCCCAAAATGCAGGTGTGCTTTTGTTGGCTTCCCTTGAAAACTCCAACAAGCCCGCAAAAACAAACACACACACACACACGGAGAAATATACACAGATACGCCCCTTGCATTTGCTTGAGGACCCTGAAAACATAAAATATGTCCAGTAGCGAAATCGATTCCCTTCCAAAACCAACAAGGGAAAACAACAAAACGAAAAGACACAGAAACATGCTTTCAGCAACTGAAAGACTCATAGGGACCGGGACAATTCTCCCCGGTCGGTGCAAAACCAACAAGTTGCTTCCAAGTAATTAGCTAACCAAACAAACAGACCAAAAAACAGGGGAACATAACCAGAACAGCGGAAACAAACACAAACTGTTTCAGCCAATGGAAGAGCCAAAGGGCCCGGGACACTTCTTGGTTGACGTGGGAAGAGGAGCAAACATTTACTCTTTAGCAGCTAAGTGGTTGGAGTTCAACCACTAAACCACAATAAGCAAAAGTTGAAAACTGTTTCCCAACCACAACCATACCCTGGGTTCATGGTTCTGGCAAATCCCACCTATGATAAAGTGGGTATGATATTGAGGCTATCCTTTTCAGGTTGTTCAAAGGAACCAGAACCAAAAAAACACCTCGGGGTCCCCATCCAACGAGGCGTTCCCCATAAACGAAGCTCAGCCGCTCATACCCCAAAACAAAACTCCCCCCCGCCTTGAGCGCCTGCGCCGCCCGCTTCTCTCTGCGGTCCAAGGCCCTGAGCGCCCGCGCCAGGCGCAGCGCCCGCTCCACGGGGACGCTCCGCGGCAGCGCCAGCAGCGCCTCGATGGATCCGACCCACGGACTCGACGGAGCGAGCGACGGAGCGTCGCCGTTTTTTTTTTTATTGTTTTTTTTTTGTTTTTTTTTTTTTTTTTTTTTTTTTTATAAATTGGAATTGTTTATGTTTGTCGTGGCACTAGGCCTCAAAGACTCAAGTCTGGGAAAGAGACTTGGTACGTTACGTTCCAAAAGCCCAACCTGCGGATTAGTTCGCACCACTTTGAAGCCATGGTTGAATTCATTGTTGCTTGATATTTACAGGGGAATCGTCAGAAACCAGGGTTTCTTAGGTGGTGCAGGATTTCGTCCATCCACGGTAGGGGAGGGACATTTGGATGTCTGATTTTTGTTGGTGGGATTTTTTTGGTGGGTAGGTTGGAGGTGGGCGACATTTGGGTGCGTCTTTTTTGGTGGGGAAACCCACTGTTTGCTGGGTTTTTGGGGTCTTACCCCCACTTGTTTCCCACTCTTTTAGTAGGGGGGGGGAGTCCCCCCCTCCTTTTCAATGGGTCCATGCAAACACATGGCATCCTCAAATTGCACTCGTGATAGGTTCAGATAAAACTCCGCTCGGTCATTTTGACAACTCTCGACATGTTCACATTCGGGGAGACCCAGTTGGCGACCCTCTGTTGGGTCGATGGTCAGAGTGCAGTCCTAGGCGGAAACAGGCTTGGTTGGTTACTTGGTTCCAAAAGCCCCACCTAGATTGCGAGTCCATCAGCCTGATGTTTTTGCATTTTTTTTCCCCCGAGCACCTTTTGTTGGACAAACGAACAAGCGGGGCTACGGAGGGAGCGGGGGATATGGGGGGGATTCCCTTGGCGCCATTTCCCATATCAAACTTAGTCAAGGTGCATCAAACGGGGAAATCCTTCCGTATCCCTGGTTCCTCGTGTATCCCTGCTAGTTTGGTTCCCTGATTTTGGAGCGACGGGATCCTGCACCACTTTGAAACCGCGCGAAACCATTGTTGCTTGGTATTTACTGGGGAATCGTCATAGGGTTTCTGAACGGTGCGAATTCTGGATGTCGCAACCATCCACAGTATGGTGCTCCTTTTGGTTTCACTTAAACCAGCCTTAAACAGGGCAACCAACAGGAGATACTGGACATTTCGACACTTCATGGGCAAGCATTTTTTTTGGCGATAGTTGCACCAGCCAAAGCCCGTAAGGCTGGTTGCCGGGGACCAGAGCCAACTGATGGGAAATCAGAGCCAAAGCCTGACTCACCATGCTTTGTCTACCCGAGTTTTGACTCCCATAGTGAGATAAACCATAGTTTTGACAAACATACTGAAAAACACGATGTTCACTCCAAAGTGTTCGACTCCACACTATGTTTTTCAGATCCCCTTTTGGAGCCTCGACTGGCCCCACGTTTTTCAGATCCCCTGGAGCCTCGACTGTCGACTCATGGCCCCTGCTGCCTCCGCCAGGCCCTCGGCGTCGTGGCTCACGCGCAAGAGCTCGTTGCGCCGCAGCAGCAGCAGCGCCGCCACCAGGAAGTCGCCTCGAGAGTTTGGAAAAGGACGAGGCGCAGGGGGCGCAGGCCCGCAGCCGAATCCGACCGTATGTTGCAGTCTAAAAGACCCTCTTGTGGTATGAGGTCGACCCTCTACTAAAAAGGAGGTATTTGCCATGGAAACCCTAGGTTGAATGAAAACAATCCCTGAAAAAAGGGGGATTTGGAGTAGGGTGTATATATATATATATATTGATATAAACATATATATATATATATACATATACATATACATATACACATGTATATCAACATTTAACCAGGGTAAACGTGGGTAAATATTGCATACATGGAGCGCTTGTAGCACCCTTCCTCCAAACAGAGACGGCATCTGGAGGGTACCTGGAAGGTCAGTTTTCTCTTGAAAGGACCTCCTGCAAGGTGCCATGTTAGTCTGGGGGAAAATCATATATACCAACAAACAACCCACTTGGAGGGTAAGCGTGGGCAAATATTGCACACAGGGAGGGCTCAGGCAGGGATGGGCGAAATCACAAGAGCGGTCAGTCTTCATGTAGCCGGCTGACATGGGAATGGCAAATAGCGGGTCCCCAGTTCTTGTTGCGTTGGTGAGGTTCCAATGGGGAGGACAATTAAAGATTGACCTTGAGGAAAGCAATTAGGGCAAGGGAGCTGTCTATGTTTCCAGACCTATTTGGGTCTGTTGTCTTGAGGGCAAGCGATTTTATCTTGTTTCAATTGAAACCCTTAGGAAACAAAGGGACCCCACAAGGGCCTCTACATAAGCCACGGTCACCATATTGCGCGGTTACCGGAAAGGATATTGGTGTGTCTCTTTTTAGGAATCGGACCCCGCAAATGGTGTCCTTTGCAACAACAAAAAAGGTGCCCTCAAAAAATACACACCCATCTGGGAAACATTAGGGCCTTAGGGGGACATCCTGCCCTTTCGGAAGCCAAGAACGTATCGGGGTGAACTATTCAGAAGCCTGAAATAAGACAAAACCCCCAAGTCAGGAACCCTCCTGTGCGCGTTCGTCTACTTCACGCGCGAAGTAATGACCCAGATCTCCGTCAGCCCAAGTTCTACGTCGGGCGGCAGAAGCCGAAGCGCTGCGGATCGGCCAGAACGACGTCCTCAGAGCGACGCAGAGGAAACGCGAGAGCCCTTCGAAGGGCGTCCATACCCAGGATGGTCCAGCGGACTGGTTCCACTCCTAGCAAAAGGGGGGGTGGTGCAAAAGGGGTGGGCGGGTGGTGCAAAGAGGGTCCAACATTACCAATGTTTTTAGCAAGGAACCCACCAAACCAAACTCACTTCCCCAGTGGATGGCCCCCAAAAAAGCGCGAGCCTGGAAGTTTGCCACTGCACTGGTCTTCCCAAAAAGTCTAAGGTCCAGAAAGTCAGGAAGTGAGAAAACGGGAAGGGCACCCTGAACTGGGCGGTCTGACTGATCAACATGGGAGGTTGGCACATCAGTCTGACCCATTCCCATTTTGATTTTCCCACAAAGGCGACCCCTTTCGCACTGTGGATGGTTGCGAAATCCATTTCGCACCACTTTAAAACCAGAAGTCGTTGTTTGTGGGTATTTACCCGGGAATCATACCAGGGTTCCTTAGGTGGTGCGATTTCTGGATTTCGCAACCATCCACAGTACCAAGGCTTAAAGGTGGCCGACACGTGACATCCACCTGGCCCGGGCGAAGCCCCGAGCCGGGGCTAGTAACAAAAAATACACCGCTCCCCCCCAAACAAAAACTTTCAGGTCTGCGGCTATACTTCACATCAGAAACAAGGGAATTCCTATAAAGGACTTTATGTGTGAGCTCGTTTTACTCTCAGTTGTAATAGGCAAGGCCACTATGAGCGGTCACTCTTTTCGGAGAATCCCTGGGCTCCTTGTCAATCCACAAAAGGGCATCATTTTTCCGAATGAAGGCACTCCATGCTTTGCATTCCCGATGGATTCCATGTTGATCAAATGGCTGTGGGTCAAAAACTGGTACCCAAAATGGAACTCTGGTAAATGGAAACATAGACTAAAACCTGCGGTCCCCTGGTGATTCAATTTTGACCCATACCCAAATGATTCCAAACGGTCTAAGGGGCGGTTCGATCACACCAACGACCAGCCATGTACTCTTAACTGCAAGGCCAAAATGGCAAGGATTTCCGTTTGTCTCCCTTACCAACCCAAAGGGGCGTGTCTGAATCCCATGTGGGTGTGTCTCAATATAGGGGACCTTTTCAGAGGTTTTCAGTGGAAACCACAAGGAAACACATACCTGGAGGGTCCCCAATTTGAGAAACACCAATTTTGAGCTCTGGGTTTCGCTGGAATGGCAAGGAGGGTGTCCTTCTTTTTTTTCACCCCCGGTTAAAGCGAATCTCCCGTGTTCCTCTTGGTTTCCCCTTGAAACCCCTGCAAAAAGGGGTGTCCCCGAAAAAAGAAATGCAACAGACCCATTTTGAGAATCTCCTAAACACCTCAGGAACCGGACGATTCACGAACTGCCAAGGTCAAAACCAGGACTGGGCTGTCTGTTTTCAGATTCCCCCTGCTAAACTTGAATAACTCTCAGTGGGTAAAATTCGGAACTCCAACCACTCAACACTAAAAACTGACTCGAAAGATCTAAAAAGATCTCCGCATGGCCTTCGGGAGCCACGTCAAAACTTCTGGGACCTGAGCGGAGCCGCCGATCCGAGCGGTCCGAGCGGCCCAGAGCCGTGCGCAGCTCTCCAAGGGGAAGCCGCCCCTGGAGCAGAAGGCCTCCCCCAGGCGAGTGGCCACGAAGACCATCAGCCCCTGCCCGTCCCTCGGGATGCGCTTGCCACGTGGATGCCGTGGCCGGTGCCATCCGGATGCTTGGTTCGAGAGATGCGGGGCGTGAGGTTGGAACCCCGAGAAGAACAGTCCAACCAGTGTTTTTTTTTTTTTTTTTTTTTTTTTTTTTTTTTTTTTTTTTTTCCGGGCTATTTCCAAAAACCACGGTTGAAAGGGATGCCATGGCCGGATGGGACCGGATGCGGATGCGGGGAATGAGTCAACAGAACCCCGAGAAAAAAAAAACGGCCAACCTGTGGATGTGGATGCTCCGTGGTTCGAGAGATGTGGGGAAGGAGTTCGAATTCCTCCAGACTTGAGAGCTTAGAATAAGTTGGTGCCCTGTCTTTTTTCTGTGGTCTATTTTAGTAAGGGTGAGACAGGGCACTGCTGGGGGACCTGAGTTGGAACCCCGAGAAAAAAAAGCCAACCTGTCGGTTTTCCTTTTTCAGGGAATGCCCTTCCGGTTTATTACCAGGAACCATTTTTGAAACCAGAACGTTTGTTGGCTTTTACGTTAGGGAATCGAACCATCATTCCAGGGTTTCTGAACGCTGGCGCAAGAAGCGGATTTCGCAACCAAGCACAATGGGTCAAAGTAGGCACCTGATGTATCCATGATCCTTTAAACATGGGGTCACCCAAAATTCAGGTGTTATGACCCCATTTTGAAAGGGCGGGCATGGGTCAAAATTAAACTATTAGGGGACCGCAGACTTTAGTCCTTGGTTCCATTTACCAGGGTTCCATTTTGGATACCCATTTTTGAACCATAGCCGGGTCGTGGAGACTCCAGGTAACCTGCTTCCCACCAGCTCACTTTGGCCAAAGTCCACTTTGGCCTGTCCGCGTGCTTCTTCGCCGAGGCACAGAGCCTCCACGAGGCCGAGATCATAGCCTCGGATAGCGGTTTCTCGGCCCGTGCCCCAACATATTCCAAAGGAGGCAGAAAATACAAAGGACATGAAAAAACTTGGAAACCCCCCAAGAAAGGAAAAAAACAAGAAATGCGAGGGAAAACAACAACCCCATGAAAGAAGGAAGAAACAAGAACCCGAAGCATCAGAAAGGACTCTCCATTGAAGGGTTTTTGGGGACGTCCATTGGAAGGTTTTGGAACGGCCCGAGATGCTTAGGGGAATCCCAAAAGGAGAAAAAAGACAAAGGGCTAAAGATTAAATAATACATCAAAGGGCAAACGCGAATCAAAGCCACGCCAGTAAAAAAGACAAGGAAACAAACCCGAGTTGTTCCTTGACCCTGGTAGAACAAGGGAACCCTTTCAAAGTGGACCACTTTTTGGGGAGTCACCAAGTAGGCAAAGGTGGAAAAAACCAAAGGACCTGGAAATACTGTGGATGGACGAAATCCTAAGAAACCCTGGAATGATGAATCCCCTGTAAATAGCAATAAACAATGGTTTCAACCATGGTTTGCGAGTGGTACGAAGTGGATTTTGCAAACATCCACAGTACAAAAACCCAAAAGGTCAAAAGAAAGCTGAGGCAAAGGTGAAAAAAACCGAAGGACCTGGAGAAAAAAACAACGAAAGGTCCAAATAACCAATGTATCCTCAACAAGAAGCAGGGGTGTAACCTGAAACTGGGGCTAGCCAGGTAGCTCTTCAGCAGTTCCCGCACCCGCCGTGCGCGGAAGGTTCGGCTCTCCTCATCCTCGCCGCTGCGCATCTCCGTGAGCAGCCTGGCGAGCGCCGATTTTTTTTGGCTTACTTCTAGGGGTTGATTCCAAACCACCATTAAAACAATGGGGGTTAATGTAACCACCATTAGTTACCTAAGGATTTTCATCATCCAAAATGAGTTAACCATTCTTTTAAAGGGGTTGATTTCGCATTCCATTCTTTTCAACCATCGTTCTTTTCAAAAACCGATCGCCATTTCCCCAGGGTTTGGGGTGGTTTTCTAGCAAGAAGGATGCCTGGAAAGAATGGGGAAGGTACCCCTAGAGTACTGGGCTTAAAAAACAATCTTACGAGAAAATCACAGAACAGTTGACAAGTTGGCGTATTGGCTCAGCCAATTAGGGTGTTTGCTGGGTGCCTTGAAGTGGTATCCTCAAACTTAGCGACGCTAACGGAAGAGCTCCCGAAGTGCATCTTGACAACCCCTCTAAATGTTCACTTTGATGGACCCAGTGTTTTGGGCGGTCCTTTCTTTGCGGGCCATGGGAAGGTTTGTGCACAACCACTATGCGCACTCTGCATAAGGTTGCCTATACCGATACCGACCGGGCCGAAGGAATCATACAACAGGCTGCTCCTGAAAAGGGCGATTCTTTGCAGTCCCAGGAATCACAGAATTGGTTTATTTCCACTTTGGCCCTGCTTTTGTTGCTGGTCCATCACACCCGGAACCCGAATGTGTGAAACCCTTGCCGTGCAAAGCAGTCCTGGTCCTTTTGGTCCTTTTGCCGTTCCCCCTTTTTGCGGAGAGGCGGCATGGCCCTAAAATGGCACGGAACGCGGTTCCACCTAAAGGTTGGGATCCTTGCCAGCCATTCTCCCACCAAAACCTCCGAGCGAACCAGCTTCCTTGTGGAACATGGTGGCGGCATATCGAGCCAAAATCCCAAACCCCTGAGCAACTGAGAGGCTGGGGCTAGGCCCGCGCGCCAGTTCCTCTTGTCATCCCTGGACCTCTTTTAAGTCTTCCCGCGCTTCAAGCTGCGTTGGAGTACTGTCCAAATGCATGACAAGAACTTGTTCCTCGCTGTAGCCGGGAAAGCGCCTTTGAGCAGAAACCCAAAGTTGTTCAGACTGCCGTGATGTTTGGCGCGCACTGCAAAGCAAGTTGATACATATTCATCATGATTGAACATGGCCTGCCTTGGGTCGGGAAGCCTTCAAAGAGACATCGCCAAGCTTCGCAACCAGTCACTTGGAGCGAGAATGGCACCCAACGCAGGCCAGGCTGCTGGAAGAAGCACCAGAAGGCGTCCGTCTCTGCTTCAGCCAAGGACGCGCTGTCCGGCAATAGGCCTCAGGCAAAAAGGCCCACTTGGCTGTTTACCCCAACAAAATCATGATTTTCCCGCCAGTTCTCTTCAAACCAACCCAAAATCACAGACACAACTATTTCCAAGACCAAGCCAGCTCCACAAAGGGTAGTGTTTTTGTTTTGTTTTGTTTTTTCCTCAACCAACCCAAAACTCACCCTCAGTAAGATCTAAGCCAGTCTAAAACCACTCCAAATTAAACCAGCCCTGAGGAAGTCCCAACTGCCGCCCAATCAGAGCCAATATGCAGCCGCAGGTCCAAGTGAAGCAGGTGATGCCGGGGATGCGGCCACCAACCAGAGAGCCCCCAACCAGCCAGGGAACCAGGCGGAAGAAAAGAACAAAAACGCCCTAGGAAAAACAAGAAACTCATCGAGTCCCCCCACAAGGGCACGTTTCAAAAATCGACACCCAATTTCAAGACCAAGCTCCTCTTGAACCCCCCAAAAACATAGTTACCAAGCTTTAAAAAACATAGACAGGGTCTCTCCGAGTCGCTGAGTGATATCTGTTTGCATGTACCCTCCAAAGAACAAGAACAGGAACCAACTCGTAACCCAGCCCCCCCCCAAAAAAAATAATAATATATATATATATATATATATATTTATAGCACTACATACACATGTGTATACCAAGCATTAAAAACAAAACAGGGATCAACACGTAGCTCGTTTCTTTGAAAACCGAGGTGCCGTAGATCAGCAGAGCTGCCACCTGCACGGATCCCCGGAGGTGCCGACCCTTCGGCGCGGAGATGGTCAGCGACACCGCGGCCTCAGAATGGCCAAGACCCAATCCTCGCACGTCTATGAGACTAGGTCCTCCAGATTTGAGAGGCTAGAATAAGTCGGTGCCCGATTTGTTTTCCTGTAGTTTATTTTAGTAGGGGAACCCTCCCAACCCAAAAAAGGGGAGAAAAGGGCGCTACTGGGGGACCTATGAGAGTATTTACCCAGATGTTCCCTGATGGGCCAGTGCAATCCATCTAGGAATGTATTATATGTTTTTCAAACAAAGGACATGTAGCAATCCATGTAGCAATCCAAGCTGCTGTTTGAACAAAGGACTATTTGAGGAATCTTTTGACAAAACTTTGCATTTGTTGTTCTTTCACGGGCAAAATGTTGGTATACATTGACGTCCATACTTGTGCCACCGTTCACCCTGATGTACACCCCCCTACAGAGTGTTAGACACTTTCTGAGAAGGGTTCGTCCTCGACTTGGGCCCCAGGCGGCCGCTTCCGCAAGGCCCGGCGTGGCCATGAGCTCCTCACGCTCGAGGAGCTAAGTGAGGTCCCGGAACGAGGGAGCTGGGGGGATCCCCCTACCTTAAGGGGAAGGGTCCCCAATTCCGTTTATCTAGTCAAGTGGAACCACAAATGGAATTCCAGAGGTCACCCCCCTCCCCAATTCCGGGGAGGGGGGGGGGCGGTACGTGGAGGGGGGGTTGGATGGTGCTGGCCTTCGCAGACAGAATCACCTTTAGGTTTGACAAAGCCAAGGAAGGGGTGATGTGGTCAGAGCCATGAAAATTCCAGAACCAGATAGCTTGGACCTCTGGGGTTCCCTGACGCCTGGAGGTCAAGAGTTACATGCGCACATGGACATGTTCTCAACCTGTGGCCGCAGCGACCGGTTTCTGAGAGCATGTTGGCTTCCTCACTCGCCCCAAGGACCTGGCAATAAAAGGTTAACCTGGACTAAACACTGACCAACATTGAAATCAGGGGTTGGGTTCGATTTGCCAATAGTTTACCGACTAAATGTGGCTTGAAAGTACCACACAGCCCCATTCTAATTGTTTGTGTATGTCTAATGGTGGCTTTCCTTTTGGTTCCCCTCTAAAGCCACCCTCCACACCCTAACCAAGGCCACACTCATTGGATTTTTTCTGTGAACCTCTTTTTGTGAAGATGGTGTTGCAAGGGAGGCCACAAGGAAACCAATTTCGTCCTTCCCCCCCCCCAAAAAAAAACTCCGCTGGCTCGAGCCTCGCCCTTCCAGGCAGTCTTCAGCTCCAGCTGCACCTCCTGCTGCAGCTCCTGCGCCTGTGAGAACGTGTCACATGGGTGCTGTTCACGTCGGCTTAAAGGGAAACCAGGACTAAAACAGCTTTTTTTTTGGAGGGCAGTCCTGTTTTGACCCACGTATGAGCAATGGACATATATGGAGGATGAGGCCCACACCTCGGAATGTTTTGAAGCTTAGCTTTACCTACAGGGGGACTCGAGCCGATTTGCCTATCCAGTCCAACGAAGCTATGGCATTTCGGTGGATAAGTGGCCACTTGTACCTGCTTTGAACTGACCATTTTCTTTGCTCGCATCCTGCTTGACTTCCGTGTATATAGTTTGTCCATTCGCGAGTTTGGAACGAATTTCGACTTGAAATCATTGACATGTTCAGCTGCTCGGTGCGCGTCTGAAACGTGTGTGTGTGTGTGGTGTGTGTGTGTGTGTGTCTGTGTGTCTGTGTGTCCGCGTGTCTGTGTGTCTGCTGTGTGTCTGCTGTGTGTCTGCTGTGTGTCTGCTGTGTGTCTGTGTGTCTGCTGTGTGTCTGTGTGTGTCTGTGTCTGCTGTGTGTCTGTGTGTGTCTGTGTCTGCTGTGTGTCTGTGTGTCTGTGTGTCTGCTGTGTGTCTGTGTCTCTGCTGTGTGTCTGTGTCTCTGCTGTGTGTCTGCTGTGTCTGTGTGTCAGTGTGTCAGTGTGTCTGTGTGTCCGTGTGTCTGTGTGTTTTTTGTCTGTGTGTCTGTGTGTCTGCGTGTCTGTGTGTCTGTGTGTCTGTGTGTCTGCTGTGTGTCTGTGTGTGTCTGTGTCTGCTGTGTGTCTGTGTGTCTGTGTGTCTGCTGTGTGTCTGTGTCTCTGCTGTGTGTCTGCTGTGTCTGTGTGTCAGTGTGTCAGTGTGTCAGTGTGTCAGTGTGTCAGTGTGTCTGTGTGTCTGTGTGTCTTTTGTCTGTGTGTCTGTGTGTCTGCGTGTCTGTGTGTCTGTGTGCCTGTGTGTCTGTGTGTCTGTGTGTCTGTGTGCGTTCGATGTGTGCGGTGTGCGCGGTGTGTGTGTGTGTGTGTGTGCGTCTTTGTGTTCGTGCTTGTGTTTGTGGTTGTGTTGGAGTTGGAGTTGGAGTTGGTGTTCGTGGATGTGTGTGCGTGTGAGTGTTTGTTTGTTTGTTTGTTTGTTTGATTATTTATTTGTTTGTTCGATTGTTGCTTTGCTTGTCTTTTTGGTTGGTTGTGTGTTTGCGTGCTTGCGTGCTTGCTTGCTTGTTTGTTTGTTTGTTTTTGTTTGTTTGTTTGTTTGTTTGTTTGTTTGTTTGCTTGCTTGCTTGCTTGCTTGCTTGCTTGCTTGCTTGCTTGCTTGCTTGCTTGCTTGCTTGCTTGCTTGCTTGCTTGCTTGTTTGTGTGTTTGTTTAATTGATTGTTTAATTGTTTGTTTGTTGGTTTTTTGTTTGTTTGTTTGTTTGATCAGTTGGTTGTTTGTGTGTGTGTTTATTGAATTGTTTGTTTGTTTGTTTGTTTGTTTGTTTGCTTGTTTGTTTGTTTGTTTGCTTGCTTGCTTGCTTGCTTGCTTGATTGCTTGTTTGTTTGCGTGTTTTTTTTAATTGATTGTTTAATTGGTTGGTTTGTTTGTTTGTTTAGTTGTTTGTTTGTTTGCTTGCTTGCTTGCTTGCTTGTTTGTTTGTGTGTGGGTGTGTGGCTTTGTGTGTGTGTGTGTGTTTGTGTTTGTTTGTGTGTGTGTGTTTGCTTGCTTGTGTTTGTCTCATGATATGGGTCATGGCAATGTTTCACTTAGTAGGAACCCTTACCAAGTACAAGGTGTTTGCACCGTTGAACATATACAGAATACTCCGGGGTGCTTTGTTTGAGGGTACCCTTGTTCCTTGTTGTTTTGAAGGAAAACCAGAAGTAAAACAGCCCATTTAGGCCATGATGCTCCTATTTTGACACATATAAGTAGGAGATGCTTATGCATATTATTTTGCAACAAGCATGAGGCCGCAACACAAAAAAAGGAACGCCTCCAAAATGATCAGTAGCCGAAAGGCTCTATCAACATAGTTATGCAGATTTATATAGAGCTCACTGTGGGGCCCTTTAACCAAGGCGTAGAACCACCAAATCTTCATGGCCAATGGGGGTGTTGGGCCCATGAGCCACAGTCAAAATCACTTGTTCCCCCCAAGTGGAGACAATAGGCTGCAAATTGGGACCAAACCTCAAATGGGTTGGTACACAGTGGACACCCTGTCAATGGCAATATGAGGGGCCAAGTAAGTACTAATAGCGTACTACAATCATCATTGAATATGGCTTCAACGTACTCCACAGCCCCATTCCAAAAGGCCCACAACTCGACTGGAAGCGTCTGTTCAGCCTCACATGGTTTGGTTCACCAAAAACGGCTGGTTTTCGTGTTGGTTTCCCTTTAAAACCACAAACAAACGGATCCCCCCAACCAAAAAAAACAACAACCGGAGGACACGCCCAAATGCTAACATTACGTCTTCACCTCCATCCCAAAACCTCAGCTTTTTGCCTCGCCTGCGGAAGTGCCAGGGCGCGGGCGCGCAGCTCATTGTAACCCTTCCGGGTACGGTCCGGGCGCAGCAAAATGTGGCGCCAGTGCCTGACGCGCACGGCGCACGCCGCACAGCACGTGGGTGGCACGTGGGTGGCTCGTCTTTCGGTTGGACGGACCCCAAATGGCGCAACGGTGGGTCCAGTTGTGGGATTTTCGTTCCAAAACAAAGCGAGAAACGAGGAGCCTCCAGAAAAGACACCAGCCAAACTTCCAATTTCCTATTTGAACATCAGATGTTTATGGTTGGCACTGTCCCTCACAAACGAGCCCTCAACGGGGCTTCGTTGGGGGTTGCATACCTTCAAACATCACCCGGCAGAAAGGAACCTCACTGCCAAAAGAGGCTCACATGTTCAAACCACCAAGGGACATCTAGAAATACTGATCAAATGTCGGGCAGCCTTCGACAAGGGACACATTTACACGCAGAGTTGTACTGTTGCCTCTTGATGAAGCCCCGGCGCAAGGGCGAAAATTCCGTCCATGGCAAAGGGAAACGCAAACCAACAGGGGTCACCGGATTTCCCCAAATCAATAGTTGCATTTCTAAGATGGGTTCCTTTGAAATTGCCACTTGAGGTCCAAGCAAGGGAAACTGAGGGACCAAGTTTCCGACGTTGCGCCGAGGTTCTTTCGCAACCTCGGGGAACACGTAAACTGTCAGGGCCTTTGAATGGAAAATCACTCCCCACCCGAAACTGAGGAAGTGCGGCCTCCCCATACAAGATTCTCCACAATGGCTGTCGAACAAAAAGGGGAGACACGATGGGTGATCTCGTTTTCCCCCGAGTATGATTCGTGCAAATGAGACTGGGTAGATGAAAGTGACATCCTGCAATTACCCTCTAACTGAGCGACTCTATAAACCTCCCATGAATCCCTATGTCGTATCAAGTTGCTTACGCGCAAGCTTGCGCTTTCCTTACGCGACCCATGTTTTGGCTTACGCGGCAGTCAGACAGCATGTAAAGCTTACGCATCGCTTACGCGTCGGCGTTTTGAGCGTTTCCCCTCAAGAATTGCTTACGCGGGCTTCTTTTCCCGTGCAGCCGCCAGAGCTGTTGAAGATGATGTGGATGACTGTGTGGAAGAGATGACGAAGAACTACGCTCGCAAGCTTCAGCAGCTTGGTGTTGTTGTTTTTGCTGCAAATCAAGAAACAGGCTTTTGCGGTAGCGGCATCCATCACGAGGGCTAGCGGGGCAGCTGAGCTAGGCGAGCTTACGCGAACCTTACGCGCCTGCTTACGCGAGCTTACGCGCCCGCGCCCCTGTAGTTTTCCTAAATCAGCGGCTACTGAAGCCTTTGTTTGTCCTAGTGGAGGTTGCGACAGCACCTAGCATGAGCCCCAAGAGCTCCCAATCAAAGTTCTGCTGATTTTTTCTCCTAATGGTGCGCGCATGCGGTCTTAGACGTCTTCCTGCAGCCAAAGTCCTCCGGGCAAGTTGCCAAGCTCGACTAGGTTGCAGCACAAGCCATTAAAAAACGCATAAGCACATGTGGGACAACTCTTCCGAGCATGCTTACAAAGCTTACTAAGCAATCACGAAGAAGAGCTTACGCAGGTGCTTACGCAGCATGTTTCCTCAAAAAGTGCTTACGCCCGCTTACGCCGTGCAGGCTTTGGCTTACGCGGGGCGTTGTTATGACACAACTCTTGCTTGGCATGTAACGGGGGGTTTTTAGAGCTGCTCAACTGGTAGTTTAGAGGCAAAAACGCAACAATAGCCAGTGGAAAAAAAGGAAAGGGAAAAAAACCAACGCCCCGCTGGGGGGTTCAGTTGCCCCAAATGGCGCTTCGCCGAATGGATGCGAGAGCTCTCGCGTGCCTTGCCCGGCTCTGAGCTGGCACGGGTGGGCTGGCAGGCAAAGATCGCATCAGCCAAAGCACCGCTTCCAAATTGGAGAGGCTGTCCTCGCGCTCGGGTTCCCCGATCGATTCTGGGTGTGGTGTCTGAAAGCAGAACCTCGACATCCGGAAAATGATGCTTTTGTGGTTTCCCAAAAAACAATCCAAGAAGGGCTCTGACAAAATACACAGGCACATGTCCAACCTAAACACAGCACCTCTACCAAGGTTGAATAGGCCAAGGTGAGGTTTAAGCCATCGAAAGGGAAATATGGAGACCCCAAACCAAGCAGCACCTCCTTGTCGCTGGCTGTGCCTGTCACAGCCCAAACGCACTTCTTGTTTGGGTCTGGCAGGAGCAAAGGAGGCTGCGGAGCACGTTGAAACAAGTAAGAAGAAGGCATCCATCTGGGGGCATCCCACACCACCTTTTGGATGGCATTTGGAGAAAGCCTGCCGTTCGAAGGGCTCCCCAATTTTTGGCAACCTAGATGTATGCAGGTACATGTGGCATGTAGCAGAAGGTGCTTGCAAATGATAACATCCACGCACCATAAGTCTACGACCGCATCTGCGCTTTCAAGGTCAACCCCAGAACACCTGCACCACTCAAAATCAGTCCCGTTTTTACTTAAATCCCGCATGTCGGGCCTTGCAACCCAGCTCTTTTTCCAGAAAGTGACACTGGTCTTCGGGGTCTACCCATTGCAAAAAGAATCCAAGGGCGGCCGCACCAACTAACAAGCAGCCTCTTCGCTACCCTCCCCAAAATTCATGGGGTCTTCATGGTGCACAACTGTTTGATTCTGCTTATTATCTGAGCAAGTTATCATAACTCGCCATACGAACATAACGGAACTCGATGAAAGAAACCTTCATCATGGGTGACGTCTAACCCCCAAATGACGCAGCTATAATTTGCCCATGCAGCTACTTTGCGTGGAGCTGTTCACACGTGCTCAATGCCGGCCGTCGCTTAAAACTCGGCACAGTGATTTAGGGTTGGCTCCTTGTCCCTCGCCGAATTCCAGAAGAAGGCCACGTGATCCTCGCTGTCGCCGTAGTAGTGGGCAATCTGTTTCCTCAGTTCCCGCAACGACTCGTGTTGTGCCGCTTCGGGATCCGTGGCGTCGTCCACATGATCTATGTCTGCAGTGTGTGAAAAAGCCAAGCATTCTGTTGGGGGGTTCATGGGATACCATGAAACCAATCATTCAGAGGGTTTCTGATTAGTCTTGCTGGCTCTCCGTTCGGAATGGAAGCCTGGTTCACTGCCTTGCTTGATTCGCACGCAAAGAAGCAAAGAGAGCACGTGTGCACTGCAAAAAACCTTGTCCAAAGTTGTTGTTCAATCTCTGCACCTCAATCAATCAACTTAGCTTATTCAGCTACTCTCCACCCCACAAACAAAGTACGGACCCCATTAAGATCGCCGTGCTGCTTCAAATGAACCGAACCATGTTCTCCCCCCACCCCCAAAGAAAGTCTACCCGCTGGTTGTCCATGGGAAAACAAATCCTCTATGTTCAGCTTTGCTTTTTGAAACACCTGGTCTTCCCATGGTAAATACCTCTTTTTTGGTACAGGGTTGACATGATACCCCCGAGAAAGGGTGTTGCCCCATATTAACCAATCCCAGTTTATCAATAGGGGGGGTGTCCATTTCTGGGCTTTCTGGGGAATCAGACCACTTTTGGAGGTGGTTTCACCTCCCTACTAATGAACTGGTGTTGATTTATATGGGTATGGGTCAAAATTAAATCATCAGGGGACCAGGTGTTGGTTCATTCCACTTACCAGAGTTCCATTTCAAATGGGGCGCATATTTTGATGTTTCACCAGGGTTCCCTTACCAAGGTTTTGGTTGATGTGTCCACTTCCCAGGCTTCCATTTGGGGTACATCTTTTTGACCCACATAGGTCTATCTCTCTTTTTCTTGAGGTTGGGGCCTGGGGTGGTTTGACCGAGAAAAACCCACATTTGCTCCATGGTATCACGTGGAAACCCCCAGGCATTTATGATGATTCCCCTCTAAATACCAACAAACCTTCTGGTTTCATCCCCATGCTCTAGGGTTCAGCCCACATTAAAAGAATGGCAAGGACACAATTTAGATGACAATCCTCAGGCAAACAATGGTGAAAAAATGAACCCCCATTCTTTTAATGGTTCTTTGAACCCCAGGGCATGGTTTCAGATTGGTGAGACTTTTGGATGTCGCCACCCACAGCATGGGCTCGACAATGGCGTGGCGTTAAGCTTAGCTTCGGCGGCTTCTTGGCTTGGGACTCTAGGCCCAGGCGGCTCCTGAGGTTGACAAAACGGGGTCAAAGCACAAGGGCAGGAGTCCCATGAGTCCAATATATATATATACATATATATATATATATGTATATGTATGTTTTTATATATATATATATAGTTGCTTCTTTAAGCAAAAAACAACGGCAACTTGTCCGTGAAACAAGTGAAATGGATATTTGAAACAACACAACAAGGGGAAGCGTATAGCAGAGAATGGCTGATTCATGTCCCTCGAATCTATGGGAAATGTTCATCCAGGGGAAACGTTTGAAGGCAACCGTTGGATGTGGACCCCATCAAGGCATGGCTCCAAATGGTTGGTTGCTCCGTGGCTGCTTTGCAGACCCTCAAAAGGGAACCATCAAACAAAGACCACACCTTACAGGAACAGCATAACATGGGGACTGAGGTTGCACGAAAGCTCTTGAGGGTGGATGAGGTTGCAAGGCCTATGACCAAAATATGCCCATTTGCTCGCAGGCTTGCAGTAACATGGCCATCCATATCATGCTCATCGGGTGACCCTGAGAGGGTTTTGGTTCAAGCTGGAACCCGTTCTTAGAGAACCTACTGCTCCCGGAACGCAGCCAGCTCAACTCCCTTTGAAAAGCTACGGGCCAGTCAAGGCAGGGACCGTCCTTTTCCAGAGTATTGAGGATAACTATTGGAGGCTGGATCCAAATCGGACAAGAAGTGCGCAATTGCGTCTTTCGTGACACGCCAAGTGCCGTGGCCAGGCGGGGTATGAGAAACACCCACTTGACTCACGTTCAACCCAGATCCCCTGCCTCTGATCCCTTGCTAAAAGCGTAACTTGTGGGTTTTCATTTCAAAACGCCACACAACCAACTAAGAAGCTGTTGAAACCTATCCTAGGTCCTCCAGTAGAGTAGAGAGGTTAGAATAAGGGTACCCTTTCTTCTGTACTCTATTGTAGTAGGGGAACCCTTCCCCAACAAAGAAACGGTAAAAAAGGGCCTAGTATCAGGAACCGGACCCAGACCAAGACCCATCCTACAGGACCCCTCCTCTCGCTCAGGTAGGTCACCAGCGCCTGGCGCAAAGATGCCTCGTAGGGCAGGTCCTGGAGATCAGTCACAGTCAGCTTTGGCTCAATTTGAAGCACGAAAAACCCAGGCACAGCCACACAACCCATATGGCAAGACATATATATATATATATGTATACATATGTATATATGTGAACAAACTTTTGACCCATGAGGGTGTTCTTGTGGGTAAATCTTAGCATAGATTGTGTGGGTTAGAGTGAAAGTAGATAGTATGGGCATGAAATTGCAGTGGTGACCCTTTCTTTTCTCATAATATGACCTGGGTCACGTACCTCTTCTCTTGCCAGTTCTCAAGAAACGGGGGAAGAGCCCTAAACCATCCCTGGTGATTTGCTTTGAGGGATCCCGAACAGTTCGTTCCGACAGTCCCCAAACTTGAAACTCCCTAAGAACCACAGTTGTTAGATCAAAAGTTGCATTTCGCTGGTGGTTTCTATCGAAACTGCCACTTTTGGAGGTCCAGAAAAGGGAAACTCAGGGACCCCTGAGCCGCCAAGACCATTCAGGTCCTCCGGAGATTCGGGTGGAGCTGGGGCCTCCTCCTGCAATTCCGGCTGGACCGCCTGGAGAGGTGCTAAAGGGTAAATGACGCGCTCATTGTTCTGCTGGGGGACGACTAGGTATGCTATGTGGTAAGAGGGGTTGAAAGACATGTCATGTGCTTGCGGAACCATCTGGCAAAGCTGCCAAAACGACAAGTAATCTATTTAAGGGCCTAACTGATTAGATAGAATGGGGTTGTGGGGTACTCAAAGACCAATATGTTGTCCTGACAGTTGCAGAACAGGTGTAACTATTTAGCACCTTGGAAGACATAGACAAGGATGTACTCTCTCGGGCAGTGTTGCTAGCCGGAAACCAACCGTTCGCAGACCAGTCTGACGAGCTTTGAGCATGGGCCGACAAGGAAGGCCCCCGCGAAGACGCGAGGACAACCCTGACAGTCTGACGAAAGGAGTCGTTCTCCACTAGTTCAGATTTTGCTTCAAGCAAAACAGCTACCAACCTACTGTGGATGGACGAAAACCATTTTGCACCACCTAAAAAACCCCGGAATGATTCGATTCCCCTGTAAATACCAACAAACCTTATTATGGTTTCCAATACTGTCCAAGTGGTGCGAAGGGTTTTCTATTTTCGAACCAAAGAGAAGCCAGATCTTCAGCAGGCCCTCAAACGTCTTGAGCTTGAACTGAGCCCTAACCAAAGGGCAAAGCATGCCTGAAATGAGCAGTTCTCTATGTGTCCATTGCACCTCACCACTAAACCCCAACAATGTCGGAGCATTCTTTCCTACTGCAAACAGCGGGTGATGCTTACATACCCGGATGCAACTCTCAGTCGTTCAGTGACCCTGGGAAAAAAGGGAACCCTTTTTGGGGAAGGCAATTTTTAGCGGGGCAGCCCCCCCAAAAAAGGGGGAAAGTTATTGGTGCCACTGAGCAACTGAGAACTTCGGGCGGTTTTGAACTCAGCGTATCCAGTTCGTGGGGCTGTTTTGGGCCGTTTTGTTTCCGCCTGAAGCTGCCTGAATTCCAAACCCATTCCGGCGTCCCCCGTGGCCTCTCTGACCGCAAAGGCTCCCTCTGTAAAGGCAATTTCAGCTAGGATAGTGTACCAGGTTTGGGCCAACTTGCTCTTTCATCATGCCTAAGCCACTAGTGAGAAAGGGCACCGAGCTCTGGTTGACACAACGATTGCAACCGACCACCGAAGAAACCACACTGGGTTCCCCACACAACTCCGCCCCCCCCCCCAAAAAAAAACCGAGGGAAACTCCAGAGGCACCTCACCAAGCCAATGAGCCCGGCTCATCGCGCAGAATCCACATCGAAAGAAGTCGATCGGAGCGCCTCCTCCGACCGGGGGGAGATGCTGGTGGCAGTGGTGGCAATGGACTGGGTGCTGAGGCGGCGCAACACCTCGGCATGAAGGCGGCGACCCTCCAGCCTCGGAGGCGAATTACCCTAGGATCGAGGCCCGCCTGTGGTTCGCTCCTTACACCCTGAAAGAAACATGACCCCCCCCCAAAAAAAAAGAAAGAGCATGAGTGGCCGCCATGGTCGCCATAGTGTGCAAGGCTATGCTTGAACTGGCGCCCAAATGCGGTAAGTGTGATTTCCCACAAGAGTCAGAAGCTGCTTACAATCAAATCAAAGGGTCGGCAGGTGCCCTCGACATCACTCCGCAGGAAACCTGAAAAGGAACCTCGAACTTACTGGCAACCAATGACCTACCTCCTGGCTGGTATTCCTGGCTCCCGTTGTTTGGAAACCAAGAGACCGTGCTTGACAAAGCAAGGTGAAAAACATACGAACATGTAGCCCCTGTTCCTCCACAGAGCATGGAGCTTGAAAGCACGTTGCTGTGAATTGGCAAGCATGTTGGAGGAGTGTGCCTCTCTGAAGGCGCCAATCAGGGAAACGACTGGCAACCCTCGCCCCACAACCCAAGACAGGGCCGGAGCATCGAATGTGGCATGTGACAGTGGCTCGCATGAATGTCAGGAGGCACCTTGACCTCATGCTGCAGCTCGTCGATCTGCTCCAACTTGTCCTCAATCTCGTCCTCATTGTCCTGCACATTTGCGACGACACGCGCCATTGCCCCAGAAAAACAAGGTATGCCAAGTTGGAGTCGGAAGGGGTTTCTGAAAGGAGCCCGCTAATGCTGCACCTCCTTTGTTAATATTACCCTGCATTATAATTATAGTAAACTATTTCCGCAACTCAGGATCTTGTGACTGTCTTGGAGGGGACTTGGAGGAATTGGCCCCTTCGGCCTCTTGAAAGGTGCTGATCTTCCAAAGAGTGGCAAAGCCTGGATGGGAAACCCTCGCTGAGCTGATCAACGAGTTGCGCTTGGGGCACTGGATTCCCCCTAAACTTGAACCGTACGGTTGGCCAATCGCGCGGGCAAAGCGCACCCCACCCACTTCCCCAGTTCTCCGTGGTTCCAAAAAGGGAAACTTGAAAAACCCCTGCTTTAATGGTTGGCTGATGTTGGCTGCTAGTCTAGCAGCCTAGCAAAACCCCGATGGCCTCCCAACCCTTCGGCGCGATTTGCCTCGATCTCCATTTGGAAGAGCTTCATAGCACAGTGTCGCTTCTCATCCTTGCTCAGCGGCCAGTCCAATGCTCCTCAGACGACAAGTTGACATCAAACGTGTGTATACCCCTTACTCCGAGTACCCACTTTCTGGGGGCTGTTTTTTTGGAAAGCCCGGCTTTCTCATGATGTCATGTCGAATACCTCTTGTTTGTGTCAATAATTCATCATGCCCTATCATACCCTGAACACAGTGGGTATTGGGCGTAGCGGGAACACAAATATGCGTATAATATAAGCATACATTCGGGTTTGTCTTAAAATAGCGGGACACCCAGCAAAATGGTGGTTGTCCTTTTAGTTTCTCCCTAAAAATAACCCCAAGAAGGGTTCCCTCAAAAAAGACAACCCCATATATAGATATATATATATATACATATAGTATATTTATATACATATGTATATATATATATATTACATCTACGTCTGTGCGTGTTAAACTTGCTTCATTGATCTACTCTGCATCTGTTCACACATGGTTTCATTTCTGTGCACTTACCATTGTACTTGCTTTGTGCATGGTTGCTTCTTCCTTTCCGGGTGTCACTATGGCACACTCATACAAACATCTGGGGGCATGGCCCAGGAAAATTGGGGCACTGTTTGGTAACCGCTATTAAAACATCGTGGCACGGGATGACACCAGAGTCCCCAAACATGGACCACGATACGTCGAAGGATGTCTTGAGACCAATTTTAGGTATCACCATGTTGTTTCCCAACATAGAGGCACACCGAAACTGGCGGGTGTCCTTTTCAAGGGGGTTCCTGGGTTGAGCAATGAGCAATGCTTCCCCCCAAGTCTTTGCCACATGATGAACCGAGTGAAATCATCCATCAGCTATATATCACGATTGAATCAGTTGGAGCAACTGCTGTGGACCAATGTTGATCCCAGATGAATAGCCAATGATGTATCAATCTGGGGCTTGTCACCCTCCAAAAGTGCTAAACCGATTCTAAAACCAGGACACCCCCATATCAATCTGGAATTATAAATCCGGGGTCAACATTGTCATTCATCCACTGGCAACAGCTTTCGGGGACTTGCTAAGCTAATCCTCTTGGATTGCGGGTTCCGGGAGGTTCCGGGGCTACTCCACGAAGTTGGCCCTTTTGATAGTCCCTCGGGCTCAAAATTCCGTAGGACCCTCCCTTTTTCAGCATTTGACAGAATGAGGCCTGGCGAAGGAATCCAATGTGGCAAGGTGGGTCACACGGTCCATCTGCCGTCAATCCCAGAATGTTCACGGCGTCTACTCCCTTTTCATAGAAAATATTGGTACTAGCGGGGGTTCCTACCATGTGTGTGTGTATATAATATTATATATATATATATATATATTTGCAACCCCCCCCAAAACCCCGATTTTGAACCTGGACAATTGCCAAAATCACTAGGAAAAATGCTACTTTTGAGAAACATGTGTATTTTCGCCTCTGCGAAATGCATACTTCTCAAGTTCAAGGCAAGTTCAATTAGTTAGTCAAACAACCAGTCAGCAAGTCAGCTAATTAGTCAGTTAAATAGTTGTAATGAATGAGGTCTGAAGCCAGTTAGCTAGTTAATTGGCTAATCAGTTAGTTATCTATTTAGCTGCCTAGTTAGTTAGATAGTACTGAAGGTATTCCCCTAATATTCCCCTTCCCTGACTAGTGAAATATTTAGGGAATACTAGGGCAATATTAAAGGTGAACACTAGGAGAATACTATGAAAATGCTGAGAGACTACTAGGGGTATACCAAAAGAATATTTAAGGAATACTAGGGCAATACTGAAGGCATTCCCCTAGTACTACCCTTGCCTTACTAGGAAATACTTGGGGGCACACCAAGAGAATACTAAAGGAATACCAGGGCAATACTAGGGAAATACTCAAGAAAGACTAGGGCGATATTAAAGGTGAACACAGGGAGAATACTAGGGGAATTCTGAGAGAATATGGGGTATACCAAGAGAATATTTAAGGAATACTAGGGCAATACTGAAGGTATTCCCCTAGTATTTCCCTTCCCTTACTAGGAAATACTCGGGGCATACCAAGAGAATGCTAAAGGAAGACTAGGGCAATACTAGGGAAATACTGGGGGAATACTAAAGGAGCATACTAGGAGAATGCTAGGAGAATGCTGAGGAAATACGAGGCTCAATTTGTCTGGACAAGTCACCAGGGCAATACAAGAAAAATACTCAGAAAATACGAAAGCGTCGCATGCGTTCTTGAGGTCATCAAAGGTCATATCCTCAGGCTCCTTGGCCATGCTAGGACAGGGTCAGAACAAAGGGCAGAAGCGGAGTAAGGAAGCGCTGGAGCCAGACAGCTTCAAACATGGGCTCGGTTCTGCTCAGATGCCAAGGAAAACTAAAAAAACTGAAAATACGGAAAACAAACTGAAAAATGAAAAAAACATGAAAAACCAAGGATTCTGAGGGACATGACCCCCCCCAGCCATGTCCCTCAGAATCCTTGGTTTTTCAGTTTTTTCAGTTTTTCAGTTTTTGCATTTTTTTCAGTTGTTTCATGTTGTTTTCCATTTTTCAGTTGTTTTTCAGTTTTTTGCAGTTTGTTCAGTTTTGCAGAGAGTTTCCAGAAAGCTTCCTTGAAAACTGAAAAAACAGCCTGACAACTGAGGGTTCTGGCAGATTCAGGTTTTTTGTCAGAAAACACAGTAAACCAGTGTTTTCAGACCAAACCTGGGTTTTGGGGGGGGGGGTACCATATTTTTATGTCTGCTACTTCTCGCCGGCTCTCTCTGGATGCCCTCTCCGCTCATATTTCCAAGCAGCTCTCCAGCGGCTGCGGCGGTCCTTGGGCCCAATCCCGGCTCCAAGAGGAGCCGAAGCCTTTGGAACAGTCTCTACCACCCGCCTCCGTTTTTCCCCAAGTGTCAAAAAAGCAGTTGGGAAGTGCTAGGGTGCTGCTAGAGGCTTCTTCATAACTTAAGGTTGCAAGCTTGGGAGGCATCAACTTCCAAAGAGGTACAGCAAGTGACGCTCACTATGCCGAGGTGTCCGCTTGAATTCATTTCGCCGTACGCATGACTATCGCTACAGTCATGCAATGAATCATGGGAGAAGTCATGAAAATCTGAGCCCTGAAGCAATGTCTCTTACCAGTTCTTTCCGCAAGGAGTTCATGGCCATGCAAATTCCTTCGTAGCCTCTTCCCAGGAGTCCAGGAGTTGGCAAGACACCAGAATTTTCACCGATTGGGCAGGTTTACCTTGATTGTAGCAAGCATACTCCTCTGAAAGGCCCAACTGTACTTCGTCAGGCGGTTTGAAGCTCACATGTGCATGTCCCATGCCAGTATAACCTTCAATCAAACAATTGCCCTGGTTTGAATAGCTCAACTGTCCTAACAAGAGCAGCTTTCTTGGGCTAAAAAAATCAAAGGGATACACCGCTCTCTGAAAACAAGCCGAACAACGGAGCATCACCCGAGGTCTTCATGGATCAACTGCACCCCTGGGAACTCCCCCAAGTCTGGAACCCCTTCATGGTCGGCTGCTGGCTTATTCATTTTTGTCCTTTTTTCCGACATGGAAACCTTCCATCCACTTTCACTTTTACAGGACCTATTCAATATTTGTTTTTTGTTTCCGACATTCAACCCTCCATTCACTTTCACTTTTACTGGACCCCCCTTTTTTCTGCCGTTGACCCAGACCAAAAACTAGCCCGGGAGGTCCCGTGGGGAAAAAAAGGCATTGCCCTGGAGCCCACAGCTTGGCTTAGGCACTGCTTGGCGGCCCCAGGCTGGAGCGGCGGCCTGGAAAGCGAGAACCATCGCCCAACACCTCTTGGCTTGTCCAACATAAAGCTGGTCGGCTTTTTGGATGGTTCTAGGGTTACCTTCCAATCCCATTCTTTCCAGCGATCCTTCTTTTCAGGAAACCATCAAAAACCGGAAACAATGCATGAAAAGAATGGGGAATCAACCCCTAGAATGGTACCCCCTTGACCCCCTTGTTTGGTTTTGAAGTGAAACCAAAAGAGAGCCCAATATTTGGGCGGGTGCTCCCTTTTGCCTCATTTGGAGTTGGTAAGTGTGGGTGAATACTACCTACAATGTGTAGGCAATTTATAGTATTGGTATAGAATGAAGCTGTTTTTTGGATGGTACCCCCTTGTTTGGTTTTAAAGGGTAACCACAAGGATACACACCATTTGGGGGTCAAACAACAAAAACAAACAAAAAACACGCCCACATACACCCACAATGGCCAATGGGGTCTCTGGGTGTTTATCACTTATGGTTCTAAAGGTACACTTTTGGGTGCAGAGGTGCACTTGCGGTGAATGAGGTTCCCTTAACAACAAGGCCAGGTAGAACGATGCCATGCTAGGTAGAACCACCCCCTGCAAACGGTTCCCCTTTCTAACAATTAAAGGACAGGCCGTTTCAAGAGGATGGTTGTCTTCCACAACCCTCTTGTCAACTGGTGGGAAGAGGGTAACTGTTTACAGGTTGAAAGGGAAAGTAAGGAACACCGAAAAGGCCAAGGTTGAACAAGCTGTAAGCTAAGTCAAAGCATGTGCGTGGAATGTGAGGGGGGAGAATGAGCAACAAAAGGCGGGCGCAACGCGGCAAAGCCTCCTGCGTTTTTCACACAGATGCTGTGCTGGTAATTCTGCTGACACTTTGGGGCTCTGCGTAGTCTGCATTTTCATTTCACAAGGACGGAGGCTGGAAGACGCTGGGGGGCAAACGAGCTATGTGGATTGGGACCTCCTTAGAACTTGATCCTCAGCCCGTTCCCGAAATCAGGCTTCCCTATATGTCCCACACAATCCATAAGGGCAATGTATACTAACATACTAACATTTGCCCCATTTGGAGTTGGTGAATGTGGGTAAGATTATGTGGGTGTTGTATCCCTTTTTGGTGGCTTTAAGCATCAGCTTGTGGGCCAATATAAATCGAGAGCTTCTTGCTGGTAGGGTCACGTTGAAACGGGGAATGCAGGGGGGCATGCAAATTGCGCAGCTTGCCCTTCTGTTCAACCGAAATTTTGGAGGAAGAATGGCAAACCGCCCCTGGACTATTTGGCTGAACCCCTGTATCTCCCATAGCTGGGTTCTATGACTGACGTCCTGCGCACGAGTTTTGAGTAAAGCCTGGAGTGACAAAAGCGCATGCCTTCATGACCACACGTACTCGGTTACTCGGGCTAGCTCCACGCCAACCAGGCAGAGCCAATCGGGGTTCGCCTTCAGGAATCTTACGCGTGTTCGGGGGGCTCCTTTTCTTTTCCCGATAAGTGTCTCATGCAACATGTCAACCAAGCACGTGTCGCGATCCATGCAGGAAAAGGTGGGACGTACCAAGCTGAACATGCTTTTCAAACAAGTATGTTGAGTCTAAACACGTGGGATATGAGCAAGGGGTCTGATCGGTTGGCTTGGTTTTGACTGCGGACATCCGGTCAATCAGCATCTCGTGTAAACCAACACATGACTCCTATCCCTCCAGACTACATACCTGCATGTTGATGTCGATAGGTATGATCATCTACATATCTCATGGTTGCAAACCTAGGTGGCCCTTTTGAAGAAATCGATGGCTCTGGTAAATGGAAGAAGCCATCTAAACCAGTGTCATCTATGTCTAATCAAACTAACCTAAGCAGGACACCCATGGTTGAACTAGTTGATGGGTAAAAACAGACTTGTCTGATGTTTTCTGGGAGGTGCCCAAACCCTTCTCCAGAAATATGTTCCTGGGCTTTGCCTGCAGCATTTGCCATGTCCTGGCGCGCCGAGGCTCAGAAGCTCAGACATTCTCGCTCGGGCGGGGGGTGGGAACTGCCCTCGAGGCGCAGGGGTTGAGGTCTCCCTCATTGGAGGGCATGGGCTGAAAGTTCGAGTTGCGCTTCGGAGATCCTTGTGGCACACGGTGGCACAAGGGTTGAACAAGGGCCAGATCTTTGACCCACCACATGGGTTGAGGTGAGGATGGGAACTGCACAAATCGGACCACTTGGCTTGAGTTCTGGTGGGGGGTCTACGGGATCTCCTAACGAGGACTCCCGCCCCCATAGTACTGTAGCAAAAAGGCCGGCGTGGGGGGGGGGGGCTTGCAACACGAATTGTCCTTCCTAAGGCTTCCTCGAGAGATGATAGTGTTCTGCACGCGCAGCCCCACCTACCATTTGACCCCCCGCCAAGGCTCCCCGCGAAGAACTTCGATTGTTCAAAAGAAACAGGGGACGGCCTTCTTGCTACTGCTACAGTAGTATGGGGGCGGGAGTCCCCATTTAGGAGAGCTTGTAGGGACCCGGGAAGTGGTCGGAGCCTTCCCGGCCAGGAGATTTCGGGGGGGGGGGGAACCAGGGACAATATGGGTACAGCTGAAAGTGTGATGCCACGTTCAGCACGGGCCCGCCATATTTGCAACTCTTACAATGATTCCAAATCCTGAAATAACATGTCTCCAAATGAAGGATCTACATGATATTGAGCTCGTTTTTTTGCTCCCAGGTCAGCTCGCCATAGAATCGGCAGATGTATACCTGGACCTTCTGGAGGTTCAAAATTTTAGGCGTTGGCCAAAAAACACGTGTTGTTTGCCTTTAGTGTGGAAAAATGCTTTTGGGGCGAAAAAAACGCCGGCGGTCATATTTGTTTGCGCCGCGGTCGGGAATGTTCGCCTGTTGGTCGGGAATTTTCGCCTGTTGGTCGGGAATTTTCGCCTGTAGATTCGGGGAGATTGAGGGTAACACCCAAATTGAGCAAAAAAAGGCCGTAGGCAAAAAACACACGCAATTGCCCCAAAAAGCAATTCGTAGCGAAAAGGCAGAAATTTTGAGCATGCAGGAAGGTCCAGGTATGATATGATAATAATAATAATAATAATAATATTAATAATAATAATACTAGTGATTATAATAACGATAATAATAATAATGATGATCATAATCACAGTAATGTTAAACCATAATATTGATAATGGACATACTATTGATACATACATGTGTATATATAATTGTATTGTTTAAAAAACAAAACAACCAAACCAATAAATGCAGAATCAGCGCAACTATATAAGTAAAGACACACACACACACACTAATAATACATATAATAATCAACTAATACGTAATCATGATAATGACAATGAATATATTCTAATAATAAAGCTCATAGTGATTATTGCAATAACTACCTAAACAACGCAATAAACAAAAAAACACAAACACACACACACACATACACAAACACACACACACACAGACACAGACACAGACACAGACACAGAGACACAGACACAGACACAGACACGGACACACACAGACACAGACACAGACACAAACACAGACACAGACACAGACACAGACACAGACACAGACACAGACACAGACACAGACACAGACACAGACACAGACACAGACACACATACACACACACACACCCATGCCTTGACGCAAGTCTCCACTCACTGCCCCACCTTCTGGATCCAACTGTGCGGTGCTTCTGATCACCCAAAGGGCTTCGAAGCCAAAATGTCAGGAGCAGCTCTTGCACTCAGGCACGTGTCAAACTGAGATTTACCTCGAAATGCTGACTAGATCCTCCAGTAGAGAGGTTAGAATAAGGCTTCCCTTTTTTCTGTAGTCTATTTTCAGTGGGGGAACCCTCCCCCAATAAAAGGGTAAAAGGGCACTACTGGGGGACCTAGCTGATTTTCTGTTGGCGTCCCTTCAAACCGACCTGAAAAGGGTACCCTCGAAAAATGCAATCCACAATGGTACGTGCAAGGTAACAAGGTAGCTGCAATGACCTGCTCATCAGAAGAGCAGACATTTGTCCCTGAAGGGAAGCCACGGGGAAACGTTTGCCAGGTTTCTAGCCCTGCGTTCAATCTTGGAAGACTGCGGATATGATGAGTCATTGACTCATGGACCCGGACAGACTGCCGGAAGGCAGAAGGCAACAAGTCATCTTTCAAGGGTGGAGCAATCCTGATAATGGTCATGAAAAAAAACAAGCCCCTGCATCTTCACAGCTGAAAAGAAATCAGAATTCGCAACTCGTCGCACAGCTGAAAAGCCTGTCCTTACCCAGCTACCCAGTGACCTTGGCAGGAAAAGGGAAGCAAAGCCCCGGGGCCCCTGAAAAACGACACCCAACGGCAGTGGTCGACCCCTTTTATAAGTGAATTCATGCGATTTATGAACGCCACTTCAGCTTTAAACCCAACGTGTCCAGGCAAGTCAACACCTAACCCACAGACCATTCTGCCCATATGCATTTTCATTTCGCATTTTCCCACGCGGGATTCGGCATCAGTATATGTACAGAAGCTCGGAGTCGGCGAAACTCCCTGCCTAAAGGTTGTCAGCGTTGGGGCGTGGTTCAGTGTTTCGGAAACAAACACATTTGTCAAAATGCGTAAAACATGCGCCCTACGTGGAACTCCTTCAAAAGGAGCCAGTACATGTCACCAAAATGACACGGGCTCCTCCCTGTCAGGATGGATCCCCAGCGCATCAGTTAGCAAGCGGAGATCCGCGTGTTTGGGCTCAGTGCCGCCCTTGACTCTCTCCAACTTCATCGGGCAGACTCAAAAGAGAGAATTTGCCCGGAACAAGCCGGGAGATATTCGCAAAGTCCGCCTAAAGAGTCTAAAGGAGGATTTGTCTGGGTGTAACTGGGTCGTTTTGAGGATGTCACTTCAATGGACCAAGGGTAAGCGGAGCCATACTGTCCCTCCTGAGCAAAATTATCAACATGTCCGGGGCTGCTCACCGAGCTGGTCGAATTTCGCGGAGCATGCTCACACCAAGAAGTACTTGTGCCGTCGCTCCTGCCAAGACAGGACTCTTGCTGGACACGCGGTATGGTACAGTATCAAGTTAAGATGGCAGCTCTTGTGCCCTTCCTGATCCAAACTGATGATGCTTTTAGGCTCCTCCTGCACCACGCATCCTTGCAACAGTGCTTGGTGAGGAGTACATGTACATGGACAATCCTTACGCTTACCAACTCGTCACATATTGTGAGCAGTGCATGCACGCCAAATGCGTGTTTCCTTGTACTCGACAAGATAAGTGATCAAAATCGTGGATGCCATCAGATTGAAAAAACATCAGGCAGAGCGTGGGCAGCGCTCAACTTGAACAGGGCCCCTGCACTGATCGGGACTAGCTGCTATTGTGTTGACCCCGGATATGTAACCCGTCCTATTCACAAGGGGGTTTACCCTCCAACACTGAATCACCACTAAACCAGGGACACCCCTATCAATAAACAAGGGTTTCTTAATCCAGGCTTCCCACTAATCCTCAAAACACCACCAAATTTCAAATAAGTGGGAATATTGGGTGACATACACACATATAAAACACAACACTGTGAAGCCTTGCATCCGAATCTCTTGGCACGAAGAAAGGTATCAACTGAACACAGTACAGTACGATCCTCCTCCCAATTGCTCAGTGGCCGTGGTAGCAAAGGGCACCAAAAGAAATCCAGCCCTCCTTCCCCCCCCCCCCCGGAACAAAAACAACACAATGACAATTAGCCTCGTTCCCAAAAAAAAGGAGACAATAGCACGCTCCCGTCCACGTGGAATTGACAAGGTTCCTGGATTCCACGCTGCACATAATTGTACTTGGGTGCAAGCGATCGGAAAGCGTTGATCAGCATCGTTCGGGGTTCTAGGTTTCCCTAAGGCACAGCATCAAAACTGCGTCGGCTCACTGTCCTCAGACGTCGATTCCTCACTCCTCTCCTGGCCAGGAACTTGGTTCCGTCTCAGTTGAGTCCCCCGGTCAGGCCGCATCACCAAAGGAAGGATTGTGTGCACAACCAATAGCCACTATATAAACAGTACATACTGTGTATTGGTAGAGGTTCGGGGGTAGTGAGCAAAACCCTCCAAGTGTTGTGTTTGGTTTTGAGCCGCTACCTGCCGGGTCAAAACAGGCAAGGGGAGTTCTTGCAAGGCCGCCGAACACCAAGAACGCCTTCCTCACGAAAAATGTGCTGTCTCCACCCATGATTTGTTCAGCATCCCCCTATAGTTTGTTTGGAGCCCGCTGGCTGGTAGAGGACCAGGGTTCAAATCCCCAAACAACCAATCCAAACCCCCAACTAAAGGTTAACTGATTCGTGGCTCCCACACGGGTTGTTCTTTTGATTGCTTGGAGGAAGGCTTGTAACAAGGTGCCTGAGACCGGCAAATCGTGCAAGTGAGCAGAGAGTGATCATTCTCGACTTTCCATATCTTGCAAATGACGAACGGTTCCCGTGGGAACCTCTGCCAAGCTTGCGGTGCAAGAGACACATTCGAAAGCTCAAGGGGAAAACTATCAATCCAGGGGAGAAAAAAACACTTGTCAACAAAAACACCGCATTCACAGCGGGATTTGCCAAATCAGCGGTACACTCTCACTTTCAACATCGCTAACATGCGCCCTTTTTGCAAACAAAACCTCTATACTGGCGGCAAATCAAGTGTCCAACGAGCCTCAAAACTGCTAAGAAACAAATTTGGCTCTGCCCAGAATGGGGATGCTCTTGGAATGGCTTAAAAGGAACCAGCATGAAACCAACCATCTAGATGATATTCCTCTTACCTTGAACACATACTGGGATGTTCAAAAAGGAGGGTTGTTGACCAATCCAAAATTCTGTATTCCCAACCGCGACACAAACGGACCAGCACATGAGTCCTCATGTGTTCCCTTCAAACCAGTTTGGATTGGATTGGGTTGGGCCAATGTTTCCAAATGGTGAATTCATCCAGTTTTGGGATTTGGACGCCAGTTCCATGCGAGATTGCATGTGCAAGGTCCGCCAAAAGATACATCCCAAAATCACCTGATTCACAAAAAAATTGTCCAAATCAGCTAAGAATAGGATTTCAACATGTCCAAAATGAATTCCTTTTAGCAACCCTCTGTGGCTACTAGCATCGGATTTCACCCAAACAAATCTCACGCGCTTGGGCTACCCTTAAACTTCCATTGTCAGCTTCCTTTTGGAGGGCTGATGTTTATGTGGATATGTGTCAACCGGGGGAGCTGTTGGTTTCTCTTTGCAACCAGCCCCAAAAAAAGAGCTACCCTCGCAAAAGGACACACACACACACACGTTCTAGGGGTTGATTCCCCATTTAACATCATTCTTTTCAAGAACCAGCTCCCAGGGTTCTGGCAGTTTTCTAGAAAGCGTCGGATCCCTGGAAATGGACATGGAAGCTACCCTTAGCAGGGATCCTTACATTGTACACCTGAACATTGCAACCTGTAAATGGTGCTTTCCAACTTTGTTTTGGTGTTGAAAAAGCCACATGTTTCAAACGGATGGGCAAAATGCAGATCTTTTTTCGGAGCCCTGCTTAGACCTCGCAGAATGTCCCCGCCTTGGAGGCCTTGAGGGCCTTCAGGGCCTTCTGAAACTTCTCGCTGTCTGTGGGCTCTCCATGCTCGTCGATGGAGAAGTGCTCCTGTTGAGCCTAGCGAAAACAAAAAAAACCTGGACCAAGACGTCCAGAAAACCACCCGGACCCGGAGTCAGCCAGAAAAGGTGGTTGTTGAACAAGCCCAAGTTTGAAGGATTCCGATATTTCCCCCTGAAACATGGCTCAAGATGATTCAGACCATCCGCCGGTGCCCCTATGAAGTGGAGCGGAATCTGCAAGTTGAAAAGCCACTGACTGCGGACACTGCGCGCCTTCACTCTAGTTCTTGGGAGTGTTGCAAGAGCGGCCTGTTGAATGAGAAGCTCCGTAGACAAGAAGGCAAGTCACAACCCTTCCTACCCATGCCCTGGGTTCAAACAACCATTCAAAGAGCGGGGTTCCTATAACCACCATTGTTTGCCCGAGGATTGTCATCCAAATTGGGTCCTTGCCATTCTTTTGATGGGGGCTGAACCCTGGGGCATGATGGGCATGGGGGATTGCCAGGATTGGCCCCCTTTTGAATAGCCGCTGGTAAAAAGGCGGGAATAGCAGCTGGTAAAAAGGTGGCACAAGGCGCCAGGCTTCATCCCGCCCCCCGCGACCGTTCCCTGGAAACGCCTGCGAGAAGGTGATCATCGAGTAGCTGCCCATGTTTTGTGGCTCCCCGGCCGGCTTAATGCCATTCAGGATCCACCTGCGGACGCTGTCAGAGGCTCTGAGGGAGCGGGCAAACGATCCTCCCTGTTAAGTGGCTATGTGTATATGTATATATATATATGCTAGCAGGAAACCGTGGTATTAGGTGGAAGCCCTACTGAATCTCTGTATATATATATATATATTCATCTATGTGTTGGAGCCCAAACGCGGAACTTCCATCCCTACCAACATGTTCGATCACGATGCCCTAGCTTAAAGATCATACCGTTCCTTTTGTATCTCTCTATATATATATATATGTGTACTATATATATATAAGCAAGAAAAAAAAAAACACGTCAGGCTCTCCCGCTGTTTAGGGGTGGGGGGGGGCGAGAACTCATGGTTGTTGAACATAGCTCGTTGTGCGATACCGAACTGAG